TCCTGGTACCAGTTCCCCCCCCGGTAGACCCCCTCCCCCCTCAGGTTCCTGCCCCTTCGGGTGTGTCCCAGGTAGACACGGTCGAGCCAGTCGAGGTTGCTGCTGAGTCTGGTGCTGCTGCTGGGGGTGCTGAGCCTGGGGGTGCTGAGCCTGGGGGTGCGAGGCCGGGGGGTGCTGAGTCTGGGGGTGCTGAGCCGGGGGGTGCTGAGCCGGAGGGTACTACGTCAGGAGCTGCTGAGCCTGGGGGTGCTGGGCCTGGAGGTGCGGAGCCTGCGCCTGCTGGACCTGGCGGCTCTCCGGTTCTTCCGTCTCGGCGGGAGCCGCTCTCTCCACAGGAGCTACGCGAGTGGTTTGCTCGCCGCTGGAGGCGTGCTGCTGGAGCTGGAGCTTCTTCGCCTGCTGCGGGTGCTGCCGGTCCCGGAGCTACTGGGCCTGCGGGTCCTACTGGAGCTGGAGCTACTGAGCCTGGGGGTGCTGAGTCTGGAGCTGCTGAGCCTGGAGGTGCTGAGTCTGGAGCTGCTGAGCCTGGGGGTGCTACGTCTGGAGCTGCTGTGCCTGGGGGTGCTGAGTCTGGAGCTGCTGAGCCTGGGGTTTCTCCTGCTGCTGCGTCTCGCCGGGAGCCCCTCTCTCCACAGGAGCTGCGCGAGTGGTTTGCTCGCCGCTGGAGGAGTGCTGCTGGAGCTGGAGCTTCGTCGACCGTCGAGGGTGCTGGTGCTGCCGGTCCCGGAGCTGCTGGGCCTGCGGGTCCTACTGGAGCTAGAGCTGCTGAGGGTGTTGGTGCTGAGACTACTGCTGTCTGTCCTGGCGGTGGTTCTGCTGCTGGTGCTGCTGGAGGTCCTGCCACTGGAGGTGTTGGTGGCGCTGGTGCTGTCGCTGAGGGTGCTGGTGCTGTCCCTGCTGAGTCTGGAGCTGCCGCGCGGCCTCGGCCGTACTTCGTTCCGCTCCTACAGCAGGTTCTTGGTCTTTCTCCTTCGGTAGAGTGTCCACAGCCTGTCCAGTCGCAGTCACTGTTGGAGCCTTCCTCTCCTCTGCCTGCTCCCTCTCCTTACACTGGTCCTACTGGAGGTCTTGCTGAGCGTCGTGAGCCTGCGTCTCGTCCCGCGTCGCCTGTTCGTGCTGCTCGCGCTAGTGGTCGCGGTTCGCGTCAGCGTCCTCCTCCTGTCCCTGGCACGCACCGGATGTCTCTGCGTCCGTCCACTGCTCCTCTGCGTGCCCCTTTGCCTTCTCCTCCTGAGTCCTCTCTTCCTGCGCTTGCCGACCCTGAGTCGGACTCTCTTCGCGCTGCCAGTCCTACTGTCACGCGTCTGCTTGCTACTGTCGTCACTGACCCCTCTTTTGAGTCCACTGCTGCGTCTGCTCTAGTCGCTGAGCTCGTTGACTTTGCTGCTCGCTGTCGTCTCGACTACGCTGCTGGTCTTGTTGCTGAGTCTGCGTCTGTCTGTCCTCCGTCCGTCGGGGGTGAGTGTGCTCTTGGCACGGACGTCCTAGAGGACAGACAGGAGGAGTTACAGTGTCTAGCGGCTGCTTCACCTCATCTCGCGTCTGTACTGCTTGCCCCTGAGGGAGACCCGGATGCACTAGACATCCCGACTCCGCGTTCTTACGCGGAGGCCGTAGAGGGTCCCTACTCCTCTCAGTGGCAGGCAGCTATGGATGCAGAGATGGCTTCCTGGAAGTCCACAGGCACCTACGTTGACGCAGTTCCCCCTCCTGGGGCGAACATCGTTAGTGGCATGTGGATCTTCCGGGTGAAGCGGCCGCCGGGCTCTCCACCTGTCTTCAAGGCGCGGTACGTTGCTCGTGGCTTCAGTCAGCGGCAGGGAGTTGACTACTTTCAGACCTTCTCTCCCACCCCGAAGATGACCACTCTTCGGGTGCTGCTGCACATAGCCGCTCAGCGCGACTACGAGCTTCACTCTCTCGACTTCAGCACTGCGTTCCTGCAGGGTAGCCTGCACGAGGAGATCTGGCTGCGCCGTCCACCTGGCTTCACTGGGACTTTCCCTCCTGGCACCCAGTGGAGCCTCCGACGGCCAGTCTATGGTCTCCGCCAGGCACCGCGTGAGTGGCACGACACACTGAGGACTACGCTTGCGGCTCTTGGGTTTGCTCCTTCTACTGCTGACCCGTCGCTGTTTCTGCGCACCGACACTTCACTGCCGCCGTTCTACATCCTCGTGTACGTCGACGACTTGGTCTTTGCCACAGCGGACACTGCTGGACTCGCCTACGTGAAGTCCGAACTGCTGAAGAGACACACGTGCACAGACCTGGGTGAACTGCGCAGCTACCTTGGCTTGCAGATCACTCGGGACAGAGCACGCCGCACCATTACCTTGACTCAGTCACACATGGTGCAGCAGGTCCTTCAGCGCTTCGGCTTCACGTACTCCTCGCCTCAGGCCACTCCTCTGCCTACTCGCCACTCACTCTCAGCTCTGCCTTCGGATGAGTCCGTAGAGTCGAGTGGTCCGTATGCAGAGCTTGTTGGCTGCCTCATGTACCTGATGACCTGCACACGACCTGACCTTGCATACCCTCTGAGCATTCTTGCACGCTATGTTGCTCCTGGGAGACACAGACCAGAGCACATGGCTGCAGCGAAGAGGGTATTGCGCTACCTGTGCAGTACGTCGGGCATGGGGCTTGTGCTTGGAGGGCGGAGTCCAGTGGTCCTTACCGGCCACGCGGACGCTTCTTGGGCTGACGACCAGGCTACGCAGCGGTCGTCACAGGGTTACACCTTCAGCCTTGGTTCCGGCTCTGTCTCGTGGCGGTCTACTCGCTCGTCTTCGGTTCTCGGCTCCAGTTGTGAGGCTGAGATCTACGCCGGGGCCATGGCTGCACAGGAGCTTCGCTGGCTCACCTACCTGCTGACTGACCTTGGAGAGCCGCCTCGTTCTCCTCCAGTGCTGTACGTAGACAACAAGGCCATGCTGGCCTTGTGTCGAGAGCAGCGCTTGGAGCACAGAACGAAGCACATTGCTCTCCGTTACTTCCTTGCTCGTGAGCTGCAGCAGCGTGGTCAGTTGCGACTTGCGTACGTGGCCTCTGAGGCCAACACTGCTGATGTGTTCACCAAGGCACTCGCGCCTTGTGACCATCAGCGCTTTTGCACCCAGCTGGGTCTTGTACCTGTCTTGCCTCACTTGCTCTCCTCTTGACTTCACTTGTACTGTGACATATATATATACCTGCTCTTGCTTGTCTAGTTTTATATATATGTCTGTACTCCTGCATGTGAACTGGCCTCTGGCCTTGCTCTTGTGCTCGGACTGTGTGGTGACTTTGTGATCCACCCTGAGCTTGCTTTGCTTTGCTTGACTGGTGTTGTGACCCCTAGTTCTCCCCCACTTTGCCTATGGGGGTGTGTCAAACATCATATATGTTATGCTTGTGTAGGCTACAGTGGGTTAGCCTATAGGGGGTACACAATTCTAGGGTTTCCCACTTGTACTCATTTTCACTGCTAGTTCATCCATTCCTGTTCGCTTATTCTCACATTTGATACATTACGAATTCAATTCGGGACATCGCGAATTCGATGTCGATCGCTTCGCGGCGCACGTTTTTCGCTTCGGGGCGTGACATCGACTTGCTGGCTCGGCGACGAATGAGGACTTGTGCCACTTGTGCACGACCCCGCCAAACCCCGCCGAGGCAGGCACCACGAGGGCCGGGCGATGCCCCGACCGTTCCTGTGGGGCACCGACCCCTTTTCCTTGGTGGAAGGGGGCATCGCTCCTCATTTTCGGCATCTCGTTTCCCTTTCCACATTTTCCCCAGCTCTGCGCCTTCTCCCACATTTCACGTCCCTTAGCCGCTTCCCTTCCCCGCCATGTCGGCCGCCCCGAAACTCGGCGAAGTGACGCCGACTTCGCAGGACTTCCCTCTGTATCTCGACCTGGGTAGTGGACTCACTGCCAAGCTCGACGAACACGACTACGCCGTCCTCGTAGACCATAGGCTAGAGTTCAACGCCCGTTGCTTGGGATTCGGCCTCAAGTGAGTGTCCGTATTGGGATGTCGACGTCGACCGCTGGATACCTTGCAGGTCGACGTTGTTAGGGTTGTCCCACGTTAGGGTTTAGATCACTACTCGGTGACGCACACAGCCGTAGGTAGGCATCGTACTCCGATCACTACAGTAGGTCGGTGCCCGCATCGGTAGGCGCCATTGATTACAACGTAGCGACGGTGGTGCACCGTTCTACTATCGCCATCCCCGTCAGTTGTCGGTTCCAGAACCCACGTGTCCATCCGTCGTGCCGTGCACGTCCTCAAACACATCTACTACCCATGCATGCGTGCAGGTACGCATGGATTCGCGCGGCGCCGGCCAACATGCGATTGTGGTCGATAGGACTCGGCCGGCTTCGGGCGGCGATGGGCAAGGAAGACCACTCATGCTTTGCAACGGTGTTCGACGCCGACATAGCTGTTATCCCTCTGCATTCGAGGTGAGCCTAAGTCATGATGGTGTGCCATGATGCCTATGTCGCTGCTCCGTTCTGATCGACGTCGTGGTGCCTAGCCTGTGCAGCATCGCACCGCTTCCAGGGGCACATTGCAGCGTCGTGGTCATCCTGTACCCCGGCGACTTGTTGCGGGCCGGGGGAGAGACGATCAGGACCTCTGTCCGGCACTTCGACCCGCAAACCGTGAAGCAGTGGCACCGCGACGAGGCGATCCGCGTGCTGAAGTGAGCTCGATAGTGTAGTCGACGACGCATGCAATTTCGCCGCTGGGCGTTAAGCAAGTCTACTGACGATATGTGCCATGTTGCTTCAGGTTTTTCCGGGCGGCGGTGCTGGCCGAGCTCGGCCGCGATGGCCGGCACTGGGAGTGGCCGAAGCCTTCTGCTGAAGAGGTGGCGGCCAGGCTCGCCGACTTCAATGAACCCGTTCGAGATGTGAGTACCGATCGTTTTACCGTCCTAGCGCGATGCCATCGCCGCCGTCTGTGCTCATCCTTGCTCTCTGCTCTGTTGTTTGCAGAAAATGCGCGACACCGTCCGGGACAGCGACGCAGGCTCTGGCCTCCTATCAATGAGCGCGCTGTGCTGGGTGGTGAAGAGGATGGATCGCCTGACCGGCGACGACCGTCGCAGTGCGACCAGCATGGACAAGGTCCTCGTTTCGGGGTTGAAGGAGCTGCGGATTCGGATGATGACATACATCAAGGAACACGTCGCACGCAGACGGTCAGGCCATGTCGGAGTTGGTGCCGATGCCTGTGACGACGACGCCGCGGAGCCCCCTTCGGCATCCCAAGCAGTCGGTGTCGCCGACACCAGCGGAGAGGCCGGAGACGGCGTCGACAAGGCAGATGAGGAGGCAGAAAGGGCTGTGGCGAGGACCGCGAATCAGGAAAAGGAGGAGGAGGAGGATGACACCGACGATCAAGATGATAACGAGGAGGATCGTGAGGAGCGTGAGCAGGGGCATGGGCAGGAGGAGGAGGAGGAGGAGGAGGAGGAGGAGGAGGAGGAGGAGGAGGAGGAGGAGGAGGAGGAGGAGGAGGAAGAGGAGGAGGATGAGGAGGAGGAGGAGGAGGACAAGGAGGCGGCGGCGGCGGAGGCCGTGGAGCAGGGTTTCGGGTCGGTGGAGCAGGTGGCGGAGGGGGAGAAGCAGCAAGAGGGGGAGGAGGAGGTAGAGTTCCCCTGGGTCGAATTCGAGATGGAGGATGTTGAGGGAGCGGCGGCGGTGGCCATGGAGGGAGCGGCGGCGGCCGTGGAGGGAACGGGCGGGATGTCGGCGGATGTTGTGTACGTGCGAGGGGAGGGTGCCGATGTGGAGAATGTCGGCGTGGAGGAGGCGCACGTGGTCGGCAATGTGGTTGGCGACGCGAAGGAGGAGGATAACGCCGCGGCCCCGACGCCGACGGGCGTGGAGACCACCACAGGGAACGCAGGGGTGGAACGCCGGGGTGGAGCGGTAGAGGCGGGCCGTCAACCGGGTTCCTCAGCAGCTGGTCGGCAGGCAACGCCGGCCGTCGTCGCGCAGCTGCGACAGGAGAACATGTGGCTGAGGGCAGAAAATGCTCGTCTCGAGACGGTGCTCGGAGTGGAGAGGGGTCGGGTGGACAGGTTCGCGATGGGGATTGGCCACCTCGTGGACAAGCTCAGGTCGTTGGCCGACCAGGTCGCCGCCTCCGACCAGGACGCGTCGAGTCGGCTGATGGACGCGTCCTTGACCATGGCGACGACTGGACGGAGAACATCACCGCCAACATGGGTGAAGCATGGGATGCGATGAAGGCGTACGTCGAGAGGGCGGAGAGCTGGTTGGACGATCTAGAGAATCCGGAGGGGTTTATGGCGGTGCAACGTGCGAACGCGGTCGTCGCCATGGGCAACCACATGGACGAAGCGAGGAAGGGATTGGAGGAATACATATCGAAGCACCTAGTCGCCGCGCAGACCAACATCGCCACCGCGGTAACTCAACGCGTCGCCGTCCCGCCGCCCACGCAGCCCGCCCCACCGCCAGCCTTCCCAGACGAGCTCATGAAGTCTTTCAAGGCGGACGTGTTGAAGGCGGTGACTGAGGCCACCCAGCAGTCGTTTGTTGCGTCCGGGTTAAACCTCATGACCCAGGTGATCGGCCATCTGGCGCCTGGTCGGCATGGGTCGTCGCCGTCGGACAACGAGGCCGACAAGAAGGGTGCGAAAAGGGCGGGCGGCGGAGATGATGCGTTGAGCTCGAAGCGGAGCAAGGGAGCTGATGGGAGCCACGGCGTCGGCCAGGTGGGTCCAGGCGGCTCGCGGAGCAAGGGAGCCGATGGGAGTGGAGGTACGAGCGTGGTCGACCAGCTCAAGAAGAACGGGGCCAAGGTGATAAGGACGCACAGCAAGGGCGATGGAATCAGGAGTGCGGAGGGGGGCCCTGCCGACCAGGTTGCCGCTCAAGAGGCTGGACCAACAGCCCCGCCATTGGTCGCCGAGAAGCCGGCCAGTCTAGCGACCGCACCAACGGCGATAGATGGCGGCGCCAAAACCGTCAAGGGACCGTCCGTCGGAGTGGCGGGGACCACGTCGATCCCCCGCAAACCCCCTGCGGCTAGCAGCGCGCCGGTCGCCCCGTCAGCCGCCAACAACGATGGGCCGTCCCTTGCGGCTACTCCAGCACCAGCAGGCACGTCTGCCGCCAAGGTTGACGCGGTGGATGCTGCGGCTAACCGCGCTGGTCCGTCCGCCCCAAAGGCGAACGCGCTCAGGGAGATGCTCAGCCGCATGGAGACCCATCGACAGGACGTGCAGCAGCCTCCCGTGGTCGGTACCGCGCCGGCCACAACAGCACGTCGCTCGGTCACTCCCCAGGTCGCCGCCACAACGTCCAGTGCCCCACCTACCGCGCCTATCATCGCCGCCCGTCCTCCTGTGGACCCAAAGTCCGCGTTGCTTCGCGCCCGGTTAGGCGCACGTACTGCGGCTGCGCCAGCACGGGCTCAGCCGGTATCCAGCTCATGCGCGACGCCGACGTCGGTGACCGTAGCTGCACACACACTCGGTGCGGCTACTGTCGAGGCGGTGGCGGAGAAGGGCGTGAGTGCAGCGCTAGCCACGGGCGGCAGATCAGTTGACCCTGCACAGGCGGCGAAGGACCACAACGACGCCGATATCGCTGCCATCCAGGACCTGTTGGAAGCGGTAAACCGCCCCAAGCAGCCCCCTGTGCTGGCCATCTTGGACTCGGCGAGTCCCACCGGTTGTACAGCGGAGCCAAAGACGACCACTGCTGCGGTCGGCGCGGGAAAGTCGAAACGGAAGGGGACGGTCGACGCAGGGAAAGCGAGGCCGAGCTCGAAGAAGAAAACACGGGCGACGTCGGCGATGGTGAAGTCGGTGGAGAAAGGACAGGGGATGGCGACGGCGATGGTGGAGAAGGAGAAGGAGGAGGAGATGGAGGAGAAGAAGAATGAGAAGGAGGAGAAGGAGAAGGAGAAGGAGGAGGAGGAGGAGGAGAAGGAGAAGGAGGAGGAGGAGAAGGAGAAGGAGGAGGAGGAGGAGAAGGTGGAGGAGGCGGAGGTGGGGGAGGAGGAGAAGGAGAAGGAGAAGGAGGAGGAGAAGGAGGAGAAGGAGGAGGAGGAGAAGAAGCTGGAGGAGGAGGAGGCGGCGACGGAGGAGGAGAAGGTGAAGGTGAAAGAACGGAAGGGTCATGGCATCCGCCACGACACCACGGGCGACAAGCAAGGGTGGGTGGGCGAGATTAAGGTGGTCGGGAACGAGAGCAGATACATCGGCAAGTCCCGCGACAAGATGGAGCTGACGTACCTTCACTCGATTGTGTACCTCCTGTACGACGGTTACGTCAGCAAGATCCTCATGGCCGAGCTCACCGGCTTGGAGGAAACAGTGATGAAGCAGTGGAGGGCGGTGTGGAAGGAAGTCCGGTTCTTGCCGACTGGGATGTGGACGGTGATATGGGCACGGGGCGCGTTCCTCCCAAAGACACGGTAAGTCGGATAAACGTCGGCCAAGCTATGATGTCGACGTCGGCGTTCCTAACGGCCAGTTTCGTGTGATTGCGTGACAGGTTCGATGATATCCTCGGGAAGTATCGAGCGTACAAGACATCAGGCGATGCGCACCACGATGCGCTTTTGCCCGCGATCTGGTTCCCCGTCGATGCCGACACGAAGTCGGATGCAATGATGTCGGCCATGATTGATCGCGTGTCCATGTGCGCGGCGTATGGGATGGTCGCTGCATCCGCGGCGAGAATGGAGGGCGACACGGATCAGAAGACGGCGAAGGTCGCACAGGCGCTGTCGGCCTCCGCTTGCGCCCTGTGGTGCTTAGTCGATGGCGACGGCGCCCAGGTGGCTGATGCCGTCCGCGAAGGGAAGGCGGCGGCGATGTTGGTCGGCGCCAGCGAGACTACCGCCGCCGAGTTCAAGAAGGTCATGACGACGGTGCTGGAGGCCGCGATCAGCAGGTAGCAACCCCTTGGGGAGGTTGCGCACAACGTCGCACCGGCGTTGGAGTCCACCGCTCTGGCCAAAGCCTATCCGGGGTTGGGTGATGAAGCCGAGGCCAAACTGATCGCACGAGCGACGGTGGAAACCCTCGCGTTCTGGGGAATGTGCCCCGTGGATGGGCCGAAACTCAGGAAGATCGGCATCGCGGTGCCGCTTGACGCGCAGATGGAGTACGACATCGAACACAGGGGGAGGAAGAGGCCGAGGGGCAAGCAGGGCAAGGACAGCTCGGGCAAGAAGGGGAAGAAGGGCAGAGCGGGCAAGGACAGCACGGCGGCGTAGTTGGCATAACAATCTGCCATGGGCGGCAGGAGGGAGCGCAAGTAGGTCTTCTTGCTATGATGGCCTGGTATGGGCGGCGTCGATTATGTGGTTGTCTTGGGATTTTTTTTCGTTTGATTGTATATTTTTCGTTGGGATTTCTTTTGTTGGCTGTAACTTTTTGGTACTGCATGTTACTACAACACTCCTCGACAAGGTCGACCTGATCTCTACCATGTTACTCAAATGCGGGCCCGGTTCGATGAACCCCGTCGGCGTATAGCAACTCGGCGTCGTACGGTGTCGACATAGTGCGTCTGGCTGTATGCATGTATATACTCGGCGATGAGCCTCGTCGGCTAGGCCGAGATGGTCAATGGTCGGCGCTTTGGGGAATGTGCCGCGCCGCCCAGGTGGCCGAAACTCTAGGAGGTCGGCATCGATGTGCCGTTTGACGCGCATATCGAGCAGGCATGGACAGCACGGATGCGTAGTCGGCGCGCGGAGGGAGCGCTAGGTGGTATGATTGCTCGGTTATAGCGTGATCGGCGCCGTTTGCGCCGTTTGCATGCAGTCAGCGATGTCGACACGAATAAGGCACAATGAATTGCACACACATGGTGGCGACTATGTCGGAGTCCGACATATCTGGTTCGAATGTATGTGTTGGATCATGTATGTTCGTGTTGCATCAAAATCAACAAGTACGATGGGAACACTACGGTTTGCTAAATTAGGGCATCATCAACCTACGCTAACACATATACACCGAGGATCTTCATGCCGACTTCTTGCGCTTTGACGGAGGACGCTGCGCAGGTGCGGTCTGCTTGGCCAAGTCGGCCACGGTCTTCGGCATCTGCTCCTCCCAGGTGTCTGGAAACAGGCGGTCGACCCACGTCGTCGGCTTCAGCTCGAGCGCCACCAGCGCACAGGCGAGGCGTAGCTTCGAGACCACCTTGGGGCCAAGCCCCTTGACGCCCATGCCAGGCTCCTTGGACATCGTCGGTGCCGTCTCCGGGTTGAGCACCGTGAGGGCATCGCAGAAGGTCCCAATGCCCGGTGCCGCGATCGTGTTCAGTGCATCGACCACGGCTTCGGTGTCGGCATCGCCGTCGCTCGCGCGTAGCTGGCGCACCGCATCCATGGCCTTCAGCATGCGGTGCACCCTCATGTTGAGTGCACCCTGGGTCGCGCCTTTGAGGAGGGTGTGGCGGTCGATGAACCCCGGCTCGGCGACCCTGTCGCAAAGACGACGGGTGTCATTGGCGGTGGCGGAGTTCCAGAGGCGCCAAGCGTCCCGCACGGTCTTTGAATCCCGCCAAGGTTGCACCACGTTGAGCTCGTAACTGGCCTCCTCTGCCGTCTGGGGGGGTGGCGGGGGTTTCCCATCATCTCTCTTGGCTCCAGTCCCCGTGTTGGCCGAATCCGCGGAGCCACCCTCGCCCGGAGTTTGATCGGTAGCCGACGGCGGCGCCGCCGGCATCCTCCGGGCTTCTGACACACGGAGTGCCTCGGTGAGTCGAGCAAGCTCGGAGGTGAGCGACGCGATGGTGTCGTTTTGCTTCTCGATCGTCTCCTGAAAGCCTAGCTTCTCGAGCGCCGAGCGCTCGACCTCCTTCTTCAGCGCCTCCTTGAGGGACATGTTGTGATACTGGGTGTCCATGCGCACGGAGATTTCCTGCAATGTTGAGTGTGCGGAAAGGCGACAAGAGGTTAGAATTCACCGGCTAAAATTCAACGACGCCGACATGGTCGGCGACTCACCTCCGGTTGTATCTGAGTCGGGTCCCGGCGCTTTTTGATCGTATCGGTGTCGACCGACTCGACCCTTTTCGCCCAGTGCTGGAAGAGGGCAATCCTGCAGAGCTTGGAACCTTGGACATACGGGTGCCACGGTGTGCGGACGAGCTTCACCGCGAGGTCCTCGGCGACGATTCGTCGGAACATCACGAGGGTGCGCAAGAAGTGCACTGCGGCTGCAGCGGCGTCGCTCCCGTTGACGGCACACGTCTCCGCCTGCAAGTCGGAAAGTGGCGTGGGTTAGTAGGGAGTTGGGCAACCAACTAGGCCACGACGACTGAAAAACATTGTCGGTGTCGCGTGACATACATCGCGCAGCATAGCATCCACGCCGGGGAAGACGTGCTCGGCGAGCAGGTCCAGGAGTTTGTCGGAGGGCTCGACCCTGCTGCGCCCCAAGAAGTAGTCTTGCTTGAGTCCTGAGTAGCCGGCCTTCTGCATCACCACCCCAACGGGAATGGCCGTGATGTACGCACGCGTCATCTTGTCGAGAGCCCAGTGTCCCAGCTCGGCGATCTGGGCGCGCGGCGTCCCTCCGATGGCTAGCTCCTGCGCACCTCCGGCGCGGGCGGCGTGCACGTTCCTTTTGCATAACACCTTGTTGGTCCTCCACATCTGCCGAGTCCAACGTTGGTGGGTGGCGGAGGAGAGCTCCTCCTGCTCCTTGTCGTTTCTGGCGAAGAAGAGATGCTTCTTGTACCAGCGTTCGCGTTCTGTGGTGTCAAGCGGCGAAAGAAAGTCGGTGCCGGAGAACTGACCGATCTGGTCGAGGATGAAGTGCAGCCACAGGCCGGTCTCGCCGACGGCGCACAGCTCCGCTTCCAGGTGTCGCGCAGCGTAGCTCTGCTGAAGACGGGCATCCTTGGAAGTCTTCGAGTTACGCGCGGCGATCACCATGACGACCGGCTGGCTATCCGGGTTCACCTCCGAGGTGCTCGCCAGGTGGTACAAGAAGACGTCGGGGAGCGTGATCTCGCGGATGCTGGCGCCGCGCAGGAGAGTGTGGTGGGAGAGTAGCGTGAGCACCTTGATGAGCAGGAATCGCCACAGCGTCTGCGACGGAGTGGTAGCCCGCGGGCTCCACCCCGCCGCCGCCCATGTCGGCAGCACCCTCATCATGATCTGGCGGAACTGCTCGGCGGTGTAGGTATCGCCGATGGTGCCGCGTCGACGGTCGGCGCAGTTCCTGAACGCAAATCGGCGGGGAAAATCTGTTAGACTGCGTCGACTTCACAGTGCACAGTGATATATAATAAGGTTGTCGACCAACTTACTTGAGGTCCCTCTCGTTCTTGTGGCGGACGTTGAACCGCACCTCCGATCTCACCACCGAGATCTCCCTCATGATGCCCAGCTCCTTCTCTCGGTACAGCGTCGCCTCCACCCTCGCCGCCATCTGGCATGCCTTTATGCGCCCGAGGATTGTGTGCACAGTTGTCGACCTCACAGGCCCCGTTCGCGTGGCATTGTTCTCCTCCCCGGGCTGGTCAACAATGAGGTTACACTCACGGCTCATTTGCTTCACGTAGGCGCGCAGCCGGGTTTCGGTGACCCTAGGGCCGTGCAGCCAGATGTACTGTCGGCGGACCACTTTCTCGTTGCACCAATCCTTTTTCTTGTTGTCGCGGATGTAGTGGCCGATCTCGTCGACGTGCCTAAGTCGTTGCTCATGGGGTAGCTTGTCGCGTATCTACTTCAGCATCTTCGCCGCCCACTTCTTGTAGTGGTAGATGAACGAGGTGTACAGCCTGAGCGTGCTATTCTTCTCCAAGCATTGTAGGTGTCGTAGGGCATCCATTATGAGCACGTCAATGCTGGAGTACACCATGTCGTCCACTACAAAGTCCGTCGCCTTCCACCCTTCGCGCGGCACCGCCATGTGCTGATTGTCCTCCTTCTCGTCCTCTTCGAGCATGTCACGTATGTATTCAAATTCCCGCCTAAGGCGTTCTTCCAAGATGCGCGGATTCGTGCTACGCGGAGGACGGTCGTCGACTTCGTCGTCGCTCTCTTCCTCGTCCTCGTCGTCGTCATCACCTTGGTTTTCCGAGCCGGCCGTCACCGACGAAGGTCCAGTCTGCCCATCTCCCGTCGGTGTCGACTTCTTCGTAAACTCCCCAATTGGCGGATTCGGTATGTCCTTGGTGTACTCCCCTTCGGGAATCTGAGTAAGTTTGTCAAGATCGTAAAGCAACTTCAGCGTCTCTACGGGGGCAGAGGACGGACTGTGGTCGGTTGGGGTACCAACGTCGGGCATGTCGACGTCGTCCATGACCGACGTATGCTCTACCGCCGGCCGTGGAAGAGGGAAAGATTGGTAAACCAGAGACGGAAGTGATTCACGTCGACGCCTTAGTGCCGACCTAAGTCTATTCCAGGTCGACGCCTGAGTGCCGCCGCTGGGTCGACTCGGCCGTCGAGTAACCTAGACCCGCAGAGACAGCGAGGGTCCTGTGAAGAAAGCGAAGTGCCAGATGGCGCACAGGAGCATGAGAGAAACACGAAGCTGAAGAGGCAGAATGAGAGCGTTGTGCGTGGTCAAAGAGGGGTATGGTTGCGGGCCACTGCGGACCCGCCGCGCTCCACGCAACACTCTTTGCAAGCGCCGCAGTGCACGTGCATGAGTGTCACGATCGATGCATGTCTACTGTCACGCCGCTTTGCGCTCAACGGCACTCCCGCCGGTGCCTTGCCACGGTGGAATTCACGTGCGCCACGTGCAATAGGCCAATCACCTAGTTCCACTCTCCCGAAATGCCGTAGCGTCCTGCTCTCCCGCGCAAACCTCATCGACCTGCGAGTAGGCGCGTGGCCGGAGGCTTGGTCGACGCCGACATTCCCTGAGTCTGGGGCTCTCTTCGCCTATGCATTGTTTGGTCCGCACAGAACCATCCGCGTGGGTCGTGCTGCTGCGGTTGGATCTTCGGGCGACACCGACATCTCAATACCCCGCGTTCTCTGGCTATCTAGGTGGTGGACACATGCCAGTCGTCTTTCGCCGCGTGGACGATGGTTACATTTTTCGTCGGCGCGCCAAGTTTCGCACGCAGCGAAATATACCCGGTGGTGCGAAGCGGGGCCACGTCGGCGCCGTAGTGGCACCTCCCGATTGTCAGGCTCGATCTCGGCCGTCCCTACTAAGCCACGTGGCCGTAATCGCGGCTCGGCGCACAACGTGTCGAGCTGTGGTTTAGGGTCCGCTGAGGTATCCTTCTCGGGTTTCTCTTAGCGAAATCCGAGGTCGTCAGATAGTCGACAATCCCGAGGGGTTCAGAGCCCCAGAGGACTGCCTCGTCGCCCCAGTTTGCCACTCGCAAGTCGTCAAGAGCTCGTCAATCCCGAGGGGGTTCGTTGTCCTATCGCAACCGCGAAATTGGGCGGCAGTTTTCGTCGGCTGAGGTATACCATCCCAATGTGGTCGCGTACATAGGACAAAAACCAGGACCCGAAAAAAAGTGCCCAAATCTTTACAGTGTTTCAGGATGGGTCAACGAAATGATGACAGGGTTCATCTGTGATAGCAAAGTTTCAAGTGTGACTACCCGTAATAGAAATTAGTGGCTTTAAGTGACGGCGGGTGATACCCGTGTGATGGTTCGTGATAGATTTGGCGGATTTTGTGACTGTTCGTGATAGCTTTCGCGGAACACATGACTGCTCGTGATAACTCCTAAATGTTTGTGACGGCCCGTATAAAAACCCTTTTTTTAACCAGCTGATTGTGACTGATTCCGTGAAACGCGTTATCAGTCGCGTGAAAATGCCCTTTGCAGTGACCGTACCCTTTTTTTTTTTTTAAATCAAAACTGTTTTCGAGTCCCATGATGGTTACGCACGGCATATTTTCCCCGAAATGTTCGTTCGAGTTGGTCGACCTGTTTTTTTTCAAGACAATCGTATGGCACGTGGTTTGGGTGTGGTTTTCATTCAACTTCGATGCCCTAATGCTGCGCCGTTTTAGGCATCCACCGTCACAACAGGTGGTTCTGGTCTGGTCCGGCGCTGATCGAGGCGCGTTCGCGGAGGGGCTAGGCTGTCACATACGACACGATGCGCCATGGTGAACGCGACTTGGCCCCTCGCACGTTTCTCGCACATGATGTGTTTTCCATCTGTACGACGCTCAGCCAACCCCCTTGCGACTCACCGACTTCAGTCAAAGTCGCAGACGGGTGGAACCCGACCCGACGAATGACGATTTCCGTTCCAGTTCAGTACAGTAGACATTCGTCGCACAACGTGACTGTTCGCTGACGCCTGTCGGTTCCAGCGGCCAGCCGTCAGCTAGCCCATCAATTCCCTCGCCGCCTCAATAGAACCGAACTTGACGGAGCGGCGCACCTGCTGAACCCTCGAGGATGGACTATGGCAACGAGATGGAAGCGCGACGCGAAAAGACCACATCGATGGAGGGGGTCAATTGGACAGAACGTTACGTTACAGAGCGGTAAAATATGGTACTACAGTACAATGTAAAATTAGATAGGTGTTGAACGGTGGAAACCAGCAAGGGAAAAAATCTGCCATCTTGGGAATGGGTGAGGAGAGCAAGAAATTTTCTGGGCGCGTATATCTCCAGGAAGAATTGGCGGGAGAGGAACCATTGGAGTTCGACGAACAGACATCGAGGAACTCACGTCGATCTTTGAGCATCGAGTATTGCTTAGCTCTGAAGTTCCATTGTCAAGTCTTGGGTTGGGTAGAAACTGCAACCTAGCTTTAGGAAAAGCTTTTGAGTTCCGATTCATACTTCAACTACAGGCAGGCTTGCTCGTGGGAAGACTGCTTCTCTCTTATTTTCCCAGTAAGCGTACGGATAAGCTAGGCATTTAGTTGCAATTGAGCGACCTAACGCGAGACTCCTCATCACAAGCCGACCATAATTCCTTCAAACGACGTCGTCACTCCCATTCCAGTGTCACTTTCCCGTGAAGCGACTCCCCATCTACGTTCCGTCAATTTGACGGAATAAGTACACCAGTAACAGAAGTACACAAAATGGCCACTGGCATGTACATGGACACGCGGCTGCAGCAGCAGTTCTGGGGCTATGGTGGCTACTCGCAGCGCGATCTCTACTCGCAGCGCGATCTCTACGAGCCTCCTCCACCGGTCCCCAACCCCAGTCCCCCCATCGGTCGCCTCGCGCGCCCCCCGCTACTCGTCATCCCGCCGATCGTTCCCGCTCCGCTCACCCCCACCCCAGTTGCGCTGATGCGGGAGATTGAGCGCTACAACCGGAAGAAGAACGCGGAGAGGGCGGAAAAGCTAGCGGCCGATCGCCCCGCGGGCCCCCCCGTGCGTCCGCGCAGGCGGAGGGTTTGGGACGACATGTTCTTTGACCTCCCCCCGACGCCCCCTCCCCGACGCGCGTCTGCTCCCGCCGCGCCTGTCACTCGCGTTATTCCGTCGGAGCCACTTCAGGTCGTCACTGCTAGTACCGCGCCCGCGCCTAGCACTGCTAATACCGCGATTAACACTGCTCCCGCGCCTGTCGTTCGCGCCGCTCCTTTGAAGCCACTCAAGGAACTCAACGGCGCGCTTCCGCCGCCACTGCCGCTGACACTCTCCGCATTGAACGGCGCATCAAACGCACTCGCTCCAGAGAATGGCAAGGCGGTGAGATCGCACAGGCTGTTACCCGTCTCTGCGAACCAACCTTCGTTCAGGGCGTGGCTGGGGAACGAAGAGAATGCGACAATGGCGACAGCCGTGCGACCGAGCGGCGCCTGCTGCGAAACGGCGTCGCAGGTGTCGTCTGCGGAGCTTCGCATCGATATATCGTCGCTTGGCGCTGCTGCTGCTGCTGCCGGCGCTCCTGCCACTGCTGCTGGGTTATTCTGTGCTGACGTGGGAAGCGCCACGGCTCACACGTCACTTCAGGTCGGTTCGGTTGCCATCGCTATAGCCTGATCCGTTACAGAGCACGTCAAAGACTCCGTTACCACCTGCACTGTGAAGCCCTGACCGGACTTCGTCTCCTCAGTCGAATACCGATGCTTAAGCATGCGCATCTGCCGCTAATCTGGCAAACTGATTTCCGGCTCAGATGTTCATAGCGTGACGGCCGCTGCACGCGGGTGAGGTGGTTCTTGAGGCGCCCCTGGTCGAGGCTTCTATCGGTGTTCAGGGCGCCTCAAGCACCACCTCGTTTGCTCCTTCTCTTTCTTGAAACGAGAGACTTGAATAGCATCTTCTCATTATATGCACACTAGCACTGGCTTCAACGTTAGTTAAAGCCTCCTCCCTGTTTCTTTTAGCTTTAAATCATCGACGCTGATGTATATGCGAGATTAATGAAAACTTATTTCTGCGCATTCCTGCCTTCTGTCCGCAACTGCTGCCTGTACAGGGGAGTCTCTTATCAAGTCCTGGAACGTCAGCACTGCCAAATGCTGCTGCTGCCTCTGCTGGAAAGAAGTGTCACAGGGAACCGCTGGCTTGCTCTGTCGACCTGCAAGCCCTTGGCTCGTTCCTCTGCTCCTGCCTCTCCGCTCTGCTGCTTAACACGTTGGGGGAAAGCTCAACGAGCCAAGGCTCAGAGGGTCAAAGCTGGAAGGAAGGAAATGGGACGCCTATGCCTGCAGCTGCACCTGCAATTGCAACAGGAGCAGCTGTGATGTCAACAGGGCTGAATGATATGCTGCTGGCGCAGGCAAGAGTGCAGGAATGCGAGAATGTGAGGTTGACGGAAGGGGAGGGAGGAGGCGAAGTTTCAGGATGGGAAGAGATTCCAGTTTCTTTGCGCCTGCAACCCAAGCGGCCGCTGTCACCGCTTGCGCCACTGCTATCCCCCATATCAGCTGCCTCAGTAGGAGCACTTTCGCAGCTGATGTTCCAACCACCGTTGATTTTACCTGGGATATTGCCATCTGGGAAGGCGATGCATCCTGGCCGTCGGTGGAGCCCCTCGTCTGTTCTGGCCTCACATTCGCCTGCCTCCGACACGTCATCATTAGAGGGAAGGACTCCGTTCACAGAGGAAACGCGTTAAAGAGGGTCGAGTGGGACTTGATGCTGTGACTTGGCGTCACATTCATCTGCCTTGAACACATAATTCGTTGAAGGGTATAGAGGAAACAAGGTGAGGAGGACTCAGAGGATCTGGAGCCGTGATAACCGGTGATGCGGAGAGGTGCAGGGGTTGGGCCAATCCGACCAGTATTTGACCTCACCTGCAATAACATTCGAGGCTATACAGGTATACGAAGTTGATGACTCTAGGTTCTGGAATCGTAGATTGATATGGCAGACCAAAAGCATATCTCGTGCTTGATATTGAGTAGTGTACTGTTTCTCAATGGTATTTGTAAGGTGAGTGTATTTCAAGCTAGTGTAGGTGGAATTTAACTAATACTTTAAACTCAAACTCCCAATTGGAATCAGCCGTATACCGAGGATAATCCCCTCGCACTCACCTCCCGTTGAATTGCCACAATCAAATTTCTTTTGGCTGTCCCTTTCGGCCCCGCCACGTCAGCCATCTTCAGCATGATCGCGCTTTCCCAGCTTGCCGCAATCAGCGGCGGCAGCACCGCAGCCAGCGTAACCATCCCGTGCCGCTTAGCACGGGGGAATTCGCCTGGCAACATCCGCCGGCAACGGATTACTGGAGTCTCGCCACGCATTCCTGTGCATTTCGATGCGCATTTCGCAGCGCGTGTCTCAAAGCCAATTCGGACGATTTCAGTGCAAGCTCGAGCGCGAACGATCCTCCCTACCACCGATGAAGCTTCCGACTTCGATCCATCTTCACCGTCGATTCCGCAGCAAGTTAGCTTGGACGGCTCAGATATCACGGTGCCGGAGCCGCTAGTAGCAGATGGCCTTCTCTCGCGACGTTCGCTCGTGGCGCTCTCATCCGCCGCCCTTACCGCTTCCTTACTCGCACCGCCCTCCACGTCAGCTTCCCCGGATTCCACGTCACTCTCTCTAGGCCCTGTCGTAATTCCCCCATGCCCTCCGGGATCTACGGTGGAGATTCAAATCGGGGATAACTGCGGTCTTGGAGTCGCGATTTACCCCGATTTCAGCTACAGCCCCGGTGGCGTTGCCGGGGGAGGCGGCTCGGGAACCGCGACGGATTTAAACGACGGATCGGATCGCGTTGAGATAGTTTTCGACCCGCAGACTCTAAACATCCCCCCGTTGCGGTATGACACGACGCGGTTCCTCGGGCTTCCGCTGCCCCCGCCGCTTAGGATTGAGATTGCTCCCGCGGCGCTCAGGGGCTACCTCGAGAGGTCGACTGGCAAGGTAGGCCTGGGAGCCCGTAGATTAGTCTAAGCTTTTTGGTTCATCTCTGCGACAGGTGCGGTACATGGCATGTATGCGCCTTTTTTTTTTGTCATGTCCTTGGGAGTTGTCTCAGCTCTTTCAACTGGTTTCTTTTTGGGAGGTGGTTTGAAGCTTTTAAGTAAATCCTTAGGGGTTAGACATACATTTTCTAAGAATTTTCTCAAAAGGCCAAGGCATTTGAAGATGACTCGGTATGTAGTGGCTGTGATGTGGTGGGGGGGAAGATGTATTGAGAGAGATGAGGGCTGAAATGAAGGGACATTGTGCTACTGTTGTGAAGGGTGATGGTTCCCTTAGCAGGGAGAAACAGCAGGGAGAGTAGAGGGGGAGACGGGAGATGGATGTAGTAGAGTGTGTTGGTGGTGTTGGTTAATTTAGGGGTTGGATTTAGCTTAGAGAAGGAAAATGACTTCGCTGATGAAGGCTCATCTCATCTGCATAGAATATGGGGATAATTGACATGTAAAGTATTGACTTTACATAATCTCCCCTCATCCATCTTCCATGTTCACTAACCCTACCTCCATTCCCCTCATGCTTCTCTTTCAGGTGGAACTTACCTTCATCTCTAAATTCTTCTTCACAGCTGGACCCATCTACTCTGCCCCACCGCTTACTGTAGAAACCATCTTAACCACCGAAAGCTCTGCTGGGCCCATACGTTCGGCCAAAGGCTCAAGGCTTGACGCCTCCGGGAAGTGTACTCTAGTTGGAGTAGCACGTGTGCCTCCTGTCAATGACTCTTTCCTGGACACTTTCCTATTACTCCCCACCGACGTTCTCGCGGTTTTGCCAGCAGAGCTTAGGTTCAAGCCGGTGGCTAGTGCATAAGATTGATTGTGAATGTGATTGTGTGTATATTGTACACTTCATTCAAATGAAATGTTTTTAATTGACTCTTTACGGAGTGTTCTCGGTGTTCTATCGCCGACAACTCAGGTAACGGTCCTAACTGAATTGCAACTTCCAAGTGTGAATTGAACAGTAACCGTTTTCCTAGCCTCACTTTTACAGTGTCGACCGAACCAAGCTTCGAGACCAGGTACGACGCGCAGCGGACACTGGCCCCTTGGGCATACCTCTCGGTAAAATCACTCCCGCCACTCTTCCAAACCTCACAAGCAGCTCTGTTTTTGTACCCAACCAACTGGCAGCAAATTTCACCTTGTCTTGCCTTGCTGTACCGTTACTCCTCTCCGTCTTTCTCCATCTCTTTGAATCGCTTGCACTGTCCTCGATGTTACCGCAGCCATGGATTTCTTCGATCAAGAAATATCAATAGCCTGAAAGCAAATAGCAGGCCTTGCTTCTCATGTTGGCTTGGCATTGCATAAGCTAAGATAAGAGGCAGAGCTCACTTCATTTCATTTGCATGAAAAGGAACCAATCGAGCATGTTGGTCCCAGCTCCTCCTTGCGATTAGCGCTCTGCGAAGCACTCCGGGATGGGAGCAATGCGAAGCAGCACGCGCTTTGATGTCTTTCGCACCTGGCTCTCGTAGTCTTGGTTGTTGATAGTTGCTGAAGCCGGTTGTTCAGTTGACAGTTTTTCGTTTGAGGAGCGTTCAAGGAAGTTCTTTCCGTGCTGCTTTCGGCTTTCAGGCTTACGGTCCCAGTGTCTTAGCGGATGTTTTTGCGAACAAACTACAACTATGCATAAGGTACGGAGATGTCATGAAGCCATTTTGTCGTCTAGTATTAAATCAACCAGCTTCGATGCGACCTCACAATTCTCACTGTCGCCAGGCTGGCCACTCGCCTCTCTCTTCTCCGCTTCAGTTTCTAACCGCACCGTGCATCGAAGAAAATGCGCTAGACTTTATCGACCACTAAGAATAATCCACCTAGTGCATCTTCTCTAAAGCGCTAATGAGGGCTATTAGGGCTTTAAATATCCTCGTGAAGTCTCTAACTCCCTGGATGTGGCTGGCTGCTTGTTTCCCGCTCGTCTTTCGCGTCAACTGAGAAGAGAAAGTTGCTCCTCCCCTCCCGCCTGTTAGGATACTCGACACCGACTAACAATGGGGTACTTTTAAACCAGAAGTAAAAAAGTGAGTCGACTGGAAAAACATCTCCCGCTTGATCCTCCATACGCGACAACGACCTTCTGATGATTTCAAGCCTGAGTCATAAAATGAACATATAAAACACCTTTCGTTTGAAACCACCCTTTCGTTCTTCAGGACACGCGACAGCGGCCTGGTCCCGTACGAGGCGGGCCCGGCAACAATTCCTGGGACGAAGATGACGACATGCCACGTGCGCTTCCCTCTCTTCCACATCATCAGCCACGTCAGCTTCTCCGTCCCGAACAGCAGCAGCAGCAGCAGCAGCAGCAGCAGCAGCAGCAGCAGCAGAAACAGCAGCAGGCACGTCAGGCTCCCCCGATACAGCCACGCAGACCCCAGGCTTCGTTAGAAGAACTTCCGCCCTCCCGCGGAAAGCAAAACTCTAGAGACGCGTACGACCCGGATGAACAGTACGAACCGCGTTATTCGAACCAGCGTGATTCGCGGGATACCAGGGAGCAACAACCGTACGATCGGAACAACTGGCAAAGAAACCCGCCGGTGCCAGCTCAGCAGCGGCAGAGCGGCGGCGGCTCGGTTCCGTACAGGCGTCCGGTCCCCCAGCCAGAGTCTGAAACGGAAACTGAAACGGAGGGGGAGGCTGAGACGGAAACGGAATTCGAGACGGAAGTTGAGACGGAAGTAGAGACGGAAGTTGAAACAGAGGTCGAAACAGAGGCGGAAACAGAGGTGGAGGAGACGGAAACGGAATTTGAGGAGGAGGAGGAAGAGGAGGAGGAAACGGAAGTGGAGGAGGAAGGGGAGGGGGAAGGAGAGGGAGAGGAGGAGGCGGAGGAGGAGGATAAGGAGAACATTTTGGAGCAAGTATCGGAGCTGTTGAGTCAGGTGAGCAAGTGGGTGATTGACTTCTCAGAGTTAGAGAAGGGTTGAACAGGGTTTGGATTGGTTGAGGAGGATACGGAGACCTTTTGGAACAAGTATCGGAGCTGTTGTGCCAGGTGAGCAAGTTGGTGAATGATCAAGTCAAGGTCAAAGGTGGGTTGAGGAGGGTTCAGTTCAACAGGAATTTGTGGCAATGATGGCAACAGGGCCCCATGGTAAACTAGATGAATACTTGCCGGTGGTTGACCTTCTGCTGAACGTGAGGAAGGTGCTGGCGGAGGTGGGGGGTGAAAGGGTGGGGGAAAAGGAGTAACCCCACAACCCTCTTCTATTGCTCTTCCCCTCCCTCCCTTCCTCCCTCAGATCGAGGCGATAATTGCAGCAGGGCCACACGGCAAGCTAGATGAGTACCTGCCAGTGGTTGACCTGCTGCTGAACGTCAGAAAGGAGCTGGCGGAGGTGGGGCAGAAGAAGTAACCCCACAACCCTCTTCGAATGCTCTTCCCCTCCCTCCCTTCCTCCCTCTCAGATTGAGGCGATGATTGCAGCAGGGCCCCATGGGAAACTAGACGAGTACCTCCCAGTGGTTGATCTGCTGCTGAACGTGCGGAAGGTGCTGGCGGAGGTGGGGGAGAAGGAGTCGGGGCGCCGGGCGGACATGCTGCTGCGGACTGCCATGGAGGACTTGGACTACGAACTAAGAGACATTCTTAAGCGGCGCAGGTGAGAGTTTGCTGGTTTAGCGACGAGAGTGTGAGAAAAAGGGTAAGTAGTGCTGTGCCAGGGAGGGTGGGCATGCTGCTGCGGACTGCCATGGAGGATCTGGACTAAGAATTAAGAGACATTCTTAAGAGGCGCAGGGGAGGAGGTGTTAAGTCAGGAGTTGAGTGAGAGCTGGCAGGCAGGGTACTCTATTTGGATTACTATTTGCTTGCTGGTCAAGCAAGCCTCTACCCGCTTCAGTGCAGACGAGCTGAGCAGACTGTTCCAGGCGGAGTTCCTTTCCTGCACGTGCATCCTTTTCCTCCCCCCACATGGCCCTTCCCTCCTCTCCTGTGCCTTCTTCCCGTATCCCCCTCCTACCTCAATCCCCCTTGCCTTTTCCCCAGCAAGCAGGCTTCTGCCCGCTTCAGTGTAGACGAGCTCAAGAGGCTGTTCCAGGCGGAGTTCCTGCATGTGCTTCCTTATCCCTCACCCTCCCCCACCCACATGCAGGCTGTTCCAGTTTCTGCATGTGCTTCCTTTTCCCTCACCCTCCCCCACCCACCCCCTGTGCCCGTCTCCCACGTTTCCCCCCCAGCAAGCAAGCCTCTGCGCGTTTTTCAGTGGACGAGCTCAAGAGGCTGTTTCAAGCGGAGTTAGTGCGCATGCTTCCTCTCCGCCCCTCCCCACACCCTCCCCCACTCCCACCCCCCACCCCCCCTTCCCGTCTTCCGCTTTCCTTTTCCCCCATCAAGCAGGCATCCGCGCGTTTTTCAGTGGACGAGCTCAAGAGGTTATTCCAGGCGGAGTTTGTGCACGTCTTTGCCCCTCCTCACCTCACCCCCCCCCTCTCTCCCCCTTTCTTCCCTGCCCTTCCCCCCAGCAAGCAAGCGTCCGCCCGCTTCAGTGTAGACGAGCTGAAGAGGCTGTTCCAGGCGGAGTTCCTGCACGTGGGGAGTGGGGATTCCGCAGGGGAGGAAGGGGAGGAGAAGGGGGAGGGGCGGGAGGGGCGGGGGGGCAGAGAGGGGAGAGGAGGGGCGGATGGGGAGGATGAGGGACTTTTGAGTCCAGGGGAAAGGGGGGAGGCGAGGGGCGAGGGAAGGGGGGGGAGGAGGGAGGGGAGAAAAGAAGGGGACTTGGAAGGGGACGAGAAGGCTGGTGGGGAAGGTGAGGAGGAGGAGGGGAGGAGGAAGGAGAGGAGGAAGGTTCCTGAGCTGTTTCCTGTGAGCACGGGGCGGTGGTTGAATGAGGCGGCTGGGAGGATGGTGCAAGGAGGGGCGGGAGGAAAGTGCGTGGAAGCTTACAGGTCTGTGCGCGTGGAGGCAGTTAAAGCCCTGATGGATGAACTGAGGCTGGAGGATGTGCTGAGTCCCGGGGTGATTCATGAAGCGTCGTGGAGAGTGCTTGAGCAGGCTTCCAAGGAGTGGGTGCAGGCGGCTTATATCATTGTGAGTCTCCCTGCGTAATCCCACAAGAAAGGGGTGATTCGCAAGGCACGAGGCACTGTGGAGGGTGCTGAAGAAGGCTTCAAGGGAATAAGTGCAGGCCGTTTCTATCATTGTAAGTCTGATATACTGTGAGGGAGGTGGGTAGGTTCACGAGGCTCGTTGGCGAGTGCTGGAGCAGGCATCAGAGAAATGGGTTGATTGAACTTTGAGAATTCTCAGAAGTTCAATCAACAGTGCTGGAGCAGGCATTAGAGATATGCTTGCCACGTGTAAACAGAGATGTTTTGAGACGTCTCAAAACATCTCTGTTTACACACAATCAGCAGTGCTGGAGTAGGCATTAGAGAAATGGTTGAAATGGATCAGGCTGCTTATATCATCGTAAGCCCCTTCCCCATTGCACTCCATGCCCTATTGGTCTCCTCGTTTCATGCAGGGGGCGTTGATAATCCCCATGGAGCATCAGACGGCCAACGAGGCTTGGAGGGGCATGGATGGATGGACACACAGAGGCAGGAGGTGCAAACATTATGTATGTGTCTCTGATGCCCTGACTGACTTCCCCCACTGACCCCTGACCATGCCCCTTTGGTGCAGGGAGCACTGATAATCCCCATGGAGCACCAAACGGCCAACAGGGCTTGGAAGGGGACGGATGAATAGACAGAGGGGAGGGAGAGGTGCTGTGGGTGAGTATTTACCTTCCTATTGCACTCCCTTCCCTGTTGGTCTCCTCGTTTTGCACAGGGAGCGTTGATAATCCCCATGGAGCACCAGACGGCCAACGAGGCTTGGAAGGGCATGGACACTCAGAGGCGTGCCGCCCTAAGGAGCGTGCTGGAGGACGGCGGCGTCGGGCGGCGGGTTTTGTTTCTAGCGGACGTGCTGAGGGCGATCGTATCACGGCGGATGGCAGAGCAGCTGTTTTCATTGCTGGATGCATATCAAGTGGTGCAAGAGATCATGCCGGAGGTATGTTACTGGACTGTAGATGGTGTGACTTTAGGGCTGAAAAGTGTGTGAATGGCAGAACAGCTGTTCTCGCTGCTGGATGCCTATCAAGTGGTGCAAGAAATCATGCCCGAGGTGTGTGTGTGGGGGTTTTGGTTTGCTCTGCATATGGGTGTGGCCCCTGTTGCACTGCGTGTGGGTGTGCATGTGGTGTGTAGCAGCGGATGGCAGAACAGCTGTTCTCGCTGCTAGACGCTTATCAAGTGGTGCAAGAGATCGTGCCGGAGGTATGTTACTGGACTGTAGATGGTGTGACTGTTGGTGACGTGATGTGACTGTAAGGGTTGAGAAGCGTGTGAATGTAAGGGCAGAGGAGCTGTTTTCGTTGCTGGACGCTTACTAAGTGGTTCAAGAGATTATGCCAATGTCTCTACCCTCTCCCATCTCTCAGCCCATGCCCTTGTGTATGTAACCGTCGCCCTGCACATGCATGCACCCCCTGTGCTTACACTCCCCATTCTCTCTTCCAAGATTCTTCTCCCCTCTCCCAGCTCGCTGCCACATTTCAGGACCTCAAGGGCAGCAATGTGTGGGGGGCGTGCGAGGGCCTGCCGCTGCTGCTGGGGCGAGCAGTGGCAGCATGGGCGTCGCAATTCCAGCGCCTCATGCTTTTCCCCAACATCCCTTCCATTCCCTACTCTCTGCCAATGTTTATCGTCCCACACCCCAGCTCTCAGCCACCTTTCAGGATCTCAAGGTCAGCAACGTGTGGGGGGCGTGTGAGGGCCTGCCGATGCTGCTGGGGCGAGCAGCAGTTGTGACGTCTCGCTTACAGCGCCTCAGGCTTTCCCCTACATTCTATCCAGAGTATTCCCACACCCCTCTTCTTTGCCTATGTCTGTCCTGTCTCCCTCTCCCAGCTCGCTGCCACATTTCAGGACCTCAAGGTCAGCAATGTGTGGGGGGCGTGTGAGGGCCTGCCGCTGCTGCTGGGGCGAGCAGTGGCAGCATGCTTCCAGCGCCTCAAGCTCTTACTGGAGGACTCTGCTGCTTCTAATCTCGCTGATGCTATGCGGAAACCCGTTCCCGCCAAGAAAGCAGCCCTGAGGTGAGTGGAAGCGTTGCAGGGGAGACTGGTGAATGAGGTACGTGCTGTTTGTATGGCGGTGGCGGGAGCAGTGGCAGCGTGCTTCCAGCAGCGCCTCAAGCTCTTGCTTGAGGACTCTGCAGCTTCTAACCTCGCTGATGCCATGCAGAAACCAGTTCCTGCCAAGAAGGCAGCCTTGAGGTGAGTATCAGTCCTGGTTAATGCCTGCAGTGGTGAGAGCAGCAGCGGCAGCAGCAGCAAAGGCAGCGTGCTTCCAGTGCCTACAACTCTTACTGGAAGACTCTGCAGCTTCTAAACTCGCTGACGCCATGCGGAAACCTGTTCCTGCCAAGAAGGCAGCCCTGAAGTGAGTGGTAGGGGCAGGGGAGAGAGGTGAAAGAGGTAAGCGCCGTTTGAATGACGGAAGCACTAGCACCAGCGTGCTTCCAGCGCCTCAAGCGACTTCGTGAGGACTCTGCTGCTTCGAATCTTGCTGATCTGATGCCATGCGCAGCCTGTTCCTGCCAAGTTCTGAGATCATGCCTGATAAGTCTTGTGCACACATGTCACAACCGTCCCCTTACCCTTGCTCGCCCTTGTTCCCCTTCGAATCTCTGCTCTGCCCTCTTATTCAGTTTCCTCACTCACGGCGCCATCAGCAACAGCAGCAACCCTTTTCTCCCTGTTCTGCTGTCCTTCCCCCAGTTTCCTCACTCGCAGCGCCACCAGCAACAGCAACACGGCAGTAGCACCACCAGACAAGCCGGTTTATGAGATCTCAAATGTTGCACCCATCCCCACCCCACTGGGCCCACCCTGTTTCTGTCCTACCCCTCAGCTTTCTCACGCGCAGTGCCACCAGCAACAGCAGCACGGCGGTGGCACCAGACGAGTCGGTTTATGAGATTGTGCCGCGAGGGGGCGCTGTGGATTCGATCACGAGCTATGTTGCGAATTACATCCGCAGCTACATGCAACGGTGCGCGGGGGTTTGTGGGGGTTAGAAAGGGTTGAGTGGGACAGGATAGGGGGTGTTGTGGACTCGATCATGAGCTACGTTGCCAACCACATTCGCAGCTACATGCAGCGGTGAGCGTGGTGGGGGGGAAAGGGGGTGGGGGATGGGAGTAATGGTAAGCCAAGGAACGGAGAGGTGAGTGCTGAGAAGGGGTGCTGTGGACTCAATCACGAGCTATGTTGCCAACTATATCCGCAGCTGCATGCAACGGTGCGTGGGAGTAGGGGGGGTGAGGAGGGGCAGGACTGAGTGAGGGTAGGGGGGGCAGAAGTGGGGGTTAGTGGAAAGAGAGGGGGGCTGTGGACTCAATTACGAGCTACGCTGCCAACTATATCCGCAGCTACATGCAACTGTGCATGGGAGTGAGGGGGGGAGGGGGAGGAAGAGTGAATGAGAGCAGGGGACAAAAGGACAAGTGCTGTGGAGAGGGGGGTTAGTGGAAGGGGGGGGGCTGTGGGCTGTGGAAAGTACAAATAACAGGATGAGCTAGACGAAGACAATAACAGGGAACACAAGGACAAGAACTGTGGACAAGGTAGTTGTTTCCCTACCCCATGTTCCTCCTTCCCTACTTACCTTCCCATTGTCCCCATTGCTCCCATTTTACCTGCACGGCCAAAGACAGAGCAGCTATGTTGACTCCCTCACCTCCCTCCCTGTTCTCCCTTCTCGAGACCCACACACTTGACGACCTCTGCTTTCCCTTTCGCTGTCTTCTTCTTTCTTCCCCTCCCAACCCCAACCCACCTGCACATGCAAGGCAGACGAAGATACATTGATTCCTCACGTCAATATTCTCTCTCCTTAAGCCCATCCAGTCCAAGACCCCAGCTCCCTCACAGCACACATTTCAACTTATTATCCTTCCACCCCTCCCTTCCTCCCTTGCCGCTTTCCTCCTTTCCCTCTCAAACCCCACCTGAGCAGGCAAGGAAGGAGAAGCTACGTGGATTCCCTCACATCTCTCTTCTCTCTTCTTGAGGCTCATCCAGACGAAGACCCCAGCTCCCTCACAGCAGATTTTGCCCTCCTCTCTCTCCCCGCCTCCTCCTCCCTCTCCCCTCTCGCCTCCTCCAATCCGATCGCTGCTGCTGCCGCCGCCGCCACCATGAACGCCACGTCAGCATCTGCCATGTCAGCAAACGGGAGGGCGCCAGGTGTCGGGAGGAGCCTGGAGAGCGAGACAGCTCAGCTGGTGATGGCTCTAAGGAGGAACCTAGAGATTAGAGCAAGGCTCTACCCAGAAGAGGAGTTACAGCAGCTATTCCTGATGAACAACCTCAACTATCTCGTCAAGTCCATGTGAGTGGTCCTCCTAGCAAGATGGAAGGACAGGGAGGAGCGTATAGAGTGAGACAACTCAGCCTCAGCTGGTGATGGCTCTAAGGAGGAACCTAGAGATCAGAGCAAGGCTCTACCCAGAGGAGGAGTTACAGCAGCTCTTTCTTATGAACAACCTCAACTATCTCGTCAAGTCCATGTGAGTTGGGTGATGTTTTTCTTCAAGCTGTCTAGACATTGCGCACTCCAGTTGACAAAGATTTTTTAAGGCTTTTGACTTGACTGTTTTTTACCTGGTTTTTATCTCTTTTTTTCTTTCTTTTTTTTACTCGGGCAGGAACGACTGGCACGGGTGGCACGCACAGGGCATTGAAAAGAACTTGTCTGCTGTGAGAAGGTATGCCATTGCTGCTGTGTTGTATGAATTGCATGGCTGCAATAAGTGGTGTTAATTCAGTTGATTGAAAACACGTGTTCCAAAAGAGAGCTATAGCAAGCTGTGGTGCGGAGCAGTTCAGAGCGGAAGCATATTGCCGAACATTGAAAAGAACCTGTCTGCTATGAGAAGGTATGCCGCTGCCAGTGCTGGCAGAGAGTCATGGTGGCTCGGAGAGGTATGTCTGCAGATTCGGGTGCAGAGCGGTTCAGAGTGGTAGCACATACAGGTATGCCGCTGCTGCTAGCTGGGATGTGTGGCCGTAGAAGAGGTTTGGGTGGAATGTGGTTCAGAGCGGTTCAATCAGCCTCCTTCCCTCCTCATTCTATGTATTGAGTGTGGTGCAGAGTGGTGCAGACTTTTTACCAGACCGAGTGGTGATGGAGAAGAGGGTGGCTTCAGCATTCTTCCCTCTCCTGTGTGGTATCACACCCGTTCCCTCTTCTCCCACCGGGGAGGGCGCCAAGGATCTCATGGTAGTGCTAGCAGACCTGGATGACGACTGGGTAGTGGTAGAGTGCGGTTCAGAGTGGTGCAGCCTTAATACCTCTTGTTTCCTTGCGTTTCCCTCCTTTCAACCACCAGGGAGGGCGCCAAGGATCTCATGGTGGCACTGGCAGACCTGCATGATGACCGTGTGGTGGAGAGTGGTGCAGAGCAGTGCAGACCTGTTCAGTCTCCCTTCCTCTCCCCTCACCCACCAGGGAGGGCGCCAAGGATCTCATGGTGGCACTGGCAGACCTGCATGACCACTGAGTGGTAGTAGCATGCGGTGCAGCATGGTAGAGTGTGGTGCAGCAGACTTCTTCCCTCTCACTCCCGTGAAGCCCCCATCGAGGAGGGCGCCAAGGATCTCATGGTGGCGCTAGCAGACCTGCATGACGACCGAGTGGTGGTAGAGTGCGGTACAGACTGGTGCAGCCTTCATACCTCTTGTTTCCTTGCGTTTCCCTCCTTTCAACCACCAGGGAGGGTGCCAATGACCTCATGGTGGCTGGCGCTGGCAGACCTGCATGACGACCGTGTGGTGATGGAGGATATTGCAGAGCAGTGTGGATTCGTTCACCTCCCTCCCTCTCCCCCTCTCTCCTTCACCCACCAGGGAGGGCGCCAATGACCTCATGGTGGCTGGCGCTGGCAGACCTGCATGACGACCGTGTGGTGATGGAGGATATTGCAGAGCAGTGTGGATTCGTTCACCTCCCTCCCTCTCCCCCTCTCTCCTTCACCCACCAGGGAGGGCGCCATGAACCTCATGGTGGCGCTGGCAGACCTGCATGACGACCGAGTGGTGGTAGAGTGCAGTGCAGAGTGGTGACATGTGGTTCAGCATACTTTTCTTCCCTCTCCTCCCATTGATCATCAGGGAGGGTGCCAAGGACCTCATGGTGGCGTTAGCAGACTTGCATGACGACAGAGTGGTGCAGCAGCATGCAGGGGCTTTCCAGTCTCTCGCCCTGCTCAAGGTGAGACAGACGGGGCACTCAAGGTGAGACAGACGGGGCACTCAAGGTGAGACAGACGGGGGCACTCAAGGTGAGACGGGGGCACTCAAGGTGAGACAGACGGGGCACTCAAGGTGAGACAGACGGGGCACTCAAGGTGAGACAGACGGGGCACTCAAGGTGAGACAGACGGGGACACTCAAGGTGAGACCGGGACACGCTCGTAAAGCAACCTTTCCACGGGGTTCAGCTGAGTCGTGTGGGCCTGGCACATTGGCAAGTGGCGTTAGCAGACCTGCATGACGACCGAGTGGTGGTAGAGTGCGGTTCAGAGTGGTGCAGCAGCACGCAGGAGCTTTCCAGTCTCTCTCCCTGCTCAAGGAGAGACGGGTGCGTGCATGTCATTTCCTCCCTCTAAACCCTCTCTCTTCATACGAGCTGGTTTTTGAGAATTCTCATAAATCTGTCCGACTGTACCTCATTGCATCGAGGTGGCTTTTGAGTCGACTAAAAAAAAAAACTGTCCGACTGTACCTCATTGCATCGCCCCACCCCATCCAGGTCATGACGGCCATGAGCACCAGTGAGAGGATTCTCGATGCAATGAGGTTTTTTAGCACCAGTCGGACAGGTTCTTAATACATGACCTCATTGCATCGTCGCCCCACCCCATCAGGTCATGACGGCCATGAGCACCAGTGAGGATGCAGTGCAGCCATCCATGCAGTGCAGCCATCCATGCACTCGTTTCGTTCACATCCTCCCCCCTCATCCTCCCCCCAACCCCTTCCCCCCTCCTACCCACCTCTTCACTCCCCCTCTTCCACTCTGCTACCCGCCTCTCTTCATACCCATCCCTGCTGGTAACATCCCATCAGGTCATGGTGGCTCTGAGCACCAATGAGGATGCGGTTCAGCTACCCACTCACTCGTTTTCCCATTCGTGCTTCTACTATGTGCATTGAGGCCATGACTACCGTGAGTGAGCCACCACCGCATCCCACTCCCTTCTACCCCATCACCCCATCAGGTCATGACGGCCCTGAGCACCAATGAGGATGCGGTTCAGCCAACACACAGAACTGCTGCGGATTATGTCAAGGCAGAGATGCAACGGTGAGATTACATGTAACGCTGGGATGACATGTAACGCTGGGATGACATGTAACATTGAGATGACATGTATCTGTCAGACAACACCTTTTGGTGAGCGTTCAGTGCGATGGATGGATTGATGAGCAACATGACATGTAAAACCCCTCTGTGCACTCTTGAAAGGATTCAATGTTTGCATTTGCGGAGCTCTCACTTGCGGAGCTCTGAAAGAGGCAAAGGGATTGGGACACTCCTTGAGGGGCTGACCTCTATGGGTGCCTCTGGATCATCCTGACGATGTGCTGATATGAATGCCTCAATCATCGTCCCTCAACGCGCAGACTAAAGAGGTTCAACTCGGCGTTTGAGGAGCTTCAAGAGAGGCAGAGGCACTGGGCGATCCCTGACGATGGGCTGAGGCGGAAGATTCGGGCTAAGTGGGCCACGAGCATCAAGGAGCGATACAGAAAGATGCTGCTGCCATACTGGTGGGTGTGGGAGGGAGAAGAGAGTGTGTGGGAGAGAGTGTTATTATGTAAATTGATGCGTATCCGTGTGAGCTAATTGGTTCTTTTGCCTGTTCTCATGAGCAATTGCTGTGTTAGCGTGTGTGTGTGTTTTCCTCAATATCTCCCCACCCCATACTCCACACCAATCTGCCCTTGTACATGGTTACGCCTTGCAGGGATGACTTGACATCATGCAAGTTCTATGCGTTTACACCAGAAAGAGTAGAAGAAATCATTCAGCACACTTTCTTCATGGACCCTTCTGAATGAACACTGATTTGTTTTTCACTCTTAACCAGCATAAAATAATAAATAGAATGTGTAATTATATTCTGTTGCAACATGAATCTAGTGTACGTAAATACTAATAACGTATCGCATCATCTGAATTCCTCTCTTGTCTGGGATTTTTTCTTCCCAGGGTTTCCCGCTATTTTGCAATCGCGCATCGGTGTCGCGACTCGCGATCAACCTGGCACACACATTATGATGCTCAGCCCTTGCCAATTCGGTTCGGATTTGGCTGTGCTTTGGTTCCCAACAGCTACCTTTCCCACTTCTGGAGGAACACTAGACCATTTCATCTCGACCTCTTTAGTTCCAACCGTGCTTTACTCATGATTGTCAGATGCAGTACTTGTATTGTTTTGTGCAGTGCCAGTTATTAGCATTTCGCGAGCCATTGGAATCCATGCATCCTATTAACGGCCCAGAAGCCACTCGGATGGAGCTTACGCAATGCGTTGCGGTCACCAGCATTAAGAGAGGTCAATCGAATCTGGGTATTTTCACGCGTGGTACGTACAATATTTGATCGCTTCGGCAGATTTTTTTTCTCAAACTCTGCTCCTCGTGAATCACAATGTTGGAAACTTTTCGAGTTTCACGGCTAGCTCACAAACCGATCCCTTTCAAGGCGTCGCTTACTTTAACATAGAGTAAGCCACGCACCAGCAAGATCTGTATACATCGAGGTTGAAGTTGTAAATTGCAAATCGAGAGGTACGTGCTTGGCGGTTTGATTAAGGCAAAGGCATGGCTGAGAGGAACCTGCAGTCGTTCAGAGGTTGGGGTGGGCATGCCTTGCGTGTGGGGGCTTGCATGTCAGGGGTTTCGTGTAAGGGCTTTCTTACCAGGACTTCAAAATCTCGAACTATCGGTCTTGTGAGGGTTTGTGAGGCTTGTTCAAGGTTAGTACTGGAATTGATGCAGAGCTAGATTTACTTTTAAATAGACTCAAAAGAAGACTTGTGTTGTGGTCATGGTTTACTGAAAGAAATGTTTCTTCCGCGAGTGAAACATACTGAGACAATTTCACAGCAGGTTCATGAAAGGTGCACAGAATGTTTACAGAAGATTCACCAAGCAGTCCTTACATGGCCTCCTCCCATCCTCCTCCCTCCCTCATTCAATTATGTACATACATCATCACATATGCTACAGATCACACCAGCCCAGCCACCACAAAGCCATAGCGAAGCTCCAGCCATTCATCCTTCCACACATCCTTTCATGCGTCCTCGACGAATCAAAGTTGTGTCCTCAGCCTTATTGAGTGACTCGGTTCTTTCTATATTTTCCCTTCCTCGGATTCTCGCAAGTCCAACTCCCTTGCAGGGTTCCAAAGTTGTGATTCCCAAGAGGAGACTTGAAAGCCTCGACTCAAAAGTCACCCCCTAACCTCTCAGCGGCTTGTCTACGGGTCAATTGGGAGACCAATGGGAACATCAATGGGAATTCCGATGCGACGCTTGCAGCAGCGCGGGCCAGTCTTAGCCGAGTAGCAGCAGCGGGGAGGTTCAGTATCGGATCCCTGGCAGCACTGCCGGCCACAGCAATAACTGCCAGTCACCTCCCCGTTATAGTCAATCCCAGGACAGCATTCCCCGCCTCTCACGCCGGGGATGCTGCAGCACTGGGGCTTTAACTCATCATTGCAGCACACGCTTCCGCCGCAGCAGGAGGATTTTTTCGGGCAGCCACACTGCCCGCCGCAGCATTTCACGCCGCCCGGGCAGCACTTGCCGTTGCAGCAGGTGGAGCCGGGTTCGCAGCATTTGCCATTGCAGCAGGTGGTGCCGTGCTTGCAGCAGGTGCCGCCGCAGCAGTAGCTGGTGCGGGTACTGCAGCAGGTGCCAGCAGTGGTGGGATCGCTTTTGGGAGACGGCAGGCAGCAGGTGAGCCCTATGGATTCGCCTCCCAGGCAGCACTTTCCGCCACAGCAACGGGGGGAGTTGCCCTGAGGCACAAGAAGGAGAGGTATGACATAGAGGGAGAAAACAGAGGGTTTGAACATGTAGGTTAGCAAGTCGGATTGGGTCGAGTTTAGAGTTGCTGGTGGGCGACGGCAGGCAGCACGTGAGGCCCATGGACTCGCCTCCCAGGCAACACTGGCCGCCACAGCAACGCGGTGAGTTTCCCTGCAAAAATGGCAAGGAGGATGGAGGAGAGAGGGAAGGCACGGAGTGAGACGATAGACCTTTCCAGTTATTCAGACGGCAAGCAACAGGTGACGCCTATGGACTCGCCTCCCAGGCAACACTGGCCGCCACTACAACGCGGTGAGATTTCCTGAAAAACGGGGGAAGAGGTATGGCAGAGAGGGAGAGAATAGAGGAGTGGAGATGAAGTAAGGTCAGGGGTCTTCGAGATGACTCAAGGGGCGCTGGTGGGAGACGGCAGGCAGCAGGTAGGCCCTATGGACTCTCCTCCCAGGTAGCACTGGCCACCACAGCAGCTCGGTGAGTTTCCCTGCAAAATCGGGAAGGAGGATGGGGGAAAGAGGGAAGACACGGAGTGAGACGATAGACCTTTCCACTTACTTGGATGGCAGGCAACAGGTGAGCCCTAAGGATTCGCATCTCTGGCAACACTGACAGCAACCCAAGGAGCTTTCGTGGGGAAGGGAAAGAAGAGGTATGGAAGAAAAGAAGTGAAATTGCAAGTAGCTTTTAGAAAAGAGGGCGTGTCACAATAGGGCAAACCTGGAATGGGCTGGGCAGGAAATTCAAGCCCAGGTGGAGATTACATGACGATGTTAGGGACCGATGAATGCGTGCGGTGTTTTGAGACGTCTCAAAACACTTCTTCATGAGTGGAGTGACGTGCACACCAAAAACAGCAACTCTCATTGCTGTGAATCGTTGAAGCTCCCGAAATTCCCACAAGGCAGCAGCTCCCATTGCAATGAATCTTTGAATATAAGCTGATGTGGTGAACTTACAAGACAGCAACTCCCGTTGCAATAGATCTGGGGTCCCCAGCACCCAAACTGGGGCTTTGCAGTGTCTACTGAGCTATCCTCGAGCACCCAAGGGCACGGTTGACGTGGCGGCTTGCATGGAAGGAGGACGGGGTCAACGGGGTCAATGGGGTCAATGGGTTCGCTGCATCCGCCAAAGCGCTTGCAGATGGGGTCGGGGAACTTGCCAAAGATCACCCGCCTTGGTGCTGCAGAATCCTCGTTTGAGAGAATCTCGTTTGTAGCAGGTTCGCCTGCTGCTGCTGTGGTGGTAGCTGCAGCATGATCAGTGGACGAAGATTCTGCAAGACTAGAGTGATGGGGAGAAGCAAACGAGCTGGTGAGAGCAGACGAGAGGAGAAGAAAGGCTGAAAGGACTTGGAAGAAGGAAGCCATTGCTGCTGAAGAGCTGAACAGCACTCGAGCTAATCACTTGGGAGTCCTGGAACTGCTCAGAACTTGTTGAGGTTTATAGCCACATGCACTGCTTCAGCTTGAATTTGTTGTGGCAGTCTCTGTGGGCTGGAACGGCGCCGCCAAATTCAGTCGGTCCGCGGGGAATGAGTGCGTTTGAGTGCGGTTCGATGGATGTCGATTTTACAGTATGGATTGTGTCAGGCGAGGATTCTTGTGGCACTGGGAGGTTCCTATTGGCTGAACGGAACAACGAAGCGAGGACGGGCACATCTGCTGCACGGAGGTTACCAAGGGCTGGGGGATGGCCCAATGCGTGTTTACACGCCGAATAGATCTCGACTCGATCCATGTACATATAAGGAGGTACAACGTTATGGTGAAATCTTTACTGTAAGCATACACGGCGGCTGTAACGATGCCTGTTTCCAGGTTTTTGAACACGGTTTTATAGAAACCGTCACTGGCTGTGTGCTCTTGCAAACTTGCAAATGCAACCTGCACCGACCAGAACCGCCTCCAAGCAAACACAAGTTTTACAATCGACGAGTTACTTGTAACACCTTCACGAAGCTCGCGAAATCGCCTTGACCGCAACCTCGCCAACGGAGCTGTCAGCGGAACTGTCACCTGTCATCTAACCGTCAATCAACGTCTCCCGCGCTTTGGATTCCTCCGAGTCCCATCGCAACAGTCCGCGCCATACGCGACGCGGCTTCCGAATCAATGGTGTCCGTCCGTCCTGAATAGATGGCTTTCTGGACACCAGCCTACCCACCGAGAGAAAAATAGTCTTCACCGCTTTCTATATACCGAGCTATTTGTGTTTCCAGCTTGAGGATCCACATGTTGCTGTTGGTCGAGATTCAAGAAATACGTATTTTGCCTCAGGTCGACCTAGAGAAGTCACGAAGTCTCAATTCGTGCATTTTACGTTCAGCATTCCCGACTGGTAGTGGTCGCACTTTTCCGAAGCCTCGGTAGTAGGAAGAGCCTACTATTCGTGTGTTCCTTCCCGCTATGGGCGGCGCGTTGGCCAAGCCAAAGGAGCGAGACGCAAAGGGGAAGGTTGTTCTTATAACGGGGTGCTCCAATGGAGGAATTGGCTACGCTATCGCCGAGTAAGCCGCTTACGTCTTCAATTCTCGACCTCATTATAATCACGCTCGATTTCCACGTCATGCTCTTGGATTCCTTGGATTTGAAGCTGGATACTATCGCGCTTATTGTCACGCTTTCTTCTGTCACGTCACTTGCTAGGGAGTTTCAGCGCCGCGGCGCGAACGTGTTCGCCACGTCACGCCGAGTCGACACGATGAAGGGGCTGAAGGAGAAAGGGGTGAACACGCTTGCGCTCGACGTCACATCTGAGCCGTCCATCCAGGTGATCCGATGGCTGTGACCTAGTAGCATGTGTCCTCGTTAGTGAGCAACTCACGATGTGTTTTGGCTGGACTGGTGACCCTGCCATTCCGCCCCCACGTCCCCGCCACTCCCCGCTTCATTCCCTCCCCACTCTCTTTCCCCCTCTCCTCCGCCCCTCCTCTCCCCCTTTACTCCGCCCCCTTTCTCCCCCTCTCTCTCCTCCTTGCCTCCCTCTCCGTCTCCCCCTCTTTCCCCTCCTTTTCCTGCAGGCCCTCCATCCACTACTCCTCTTTCCCTCCACTACGGGCTGTAGTGAAGGAGGTGGCAAGCTCAGCAGGGCGGGAGGACGTGCTTGCTGGTGAACGACAGGGGGTGAGGGCTGCCGGGACCACTGGCTAACTGTCTCCGTTCCACCTCCCCTTCCCCCCTCTATCATCTATCCGTCCGCCTCCCCAACAGGCAGTAGTGAAGGAGGTGGCAAGCTCAGCAGGGCGGGAGGACGTGCTTGCTGGTGAACGACAGGGGGTGAGGGCTGCCGGGACCACTGGCTAACTGTCTCCGTTCCACCTCCCCTTCCCCCCTCTATCATCTATCCGTCCGCCTCCCCAACAGGCAGTAGTGAAGGAGGTGGCAAGCTCAGCAGGGCGGGAGCACGTGCTTGCTGGTGAACAACGCCAGGTTTGGTGGGCTGTTGGGATTGCCATACTGTGCCTCCTTCGGCCCCACCCACGTCTCCTCTCCTCTCCACCACTACAGGCAGTAGTGAAGGATGTGGCAACCTCAGCAGGGCGGGTGGACGTGCTGGTGAACAACGCCAGGGTGAGGGCTGCTGGGGTTGACTAGCTCTCTCTCCCTTCCACCCCATCCACCTCTCCGCTTTCCCGTACAGGCAGCAGTCAAGCAAGTATGTTTTTTGAGAATTCACAAAAAACATATCCTTCCCCCCCATCCACCTCTCTGACTTCATCCAACAGGCAGCAGTCAAGCAAGTCACGGGTGCAGCAACACGGGCTGGGGGCTGCCATGGGCAGCGGGGCGGGTGGAATTTGGGGCGTGGTTGATTGGATCCGATCCGATCTCCAGGACGTGTTGGCCAACAAATAAACGCCGGGCGTGGGCTTTGGGTTTTGACAGGCTGTCTTTCCTCCTCTCCCCCTAACCTCTATCTTCGCACAAGCAGCAGTGAAGGAGGTGACATGGGCAGCGGGGCGGGTGGACGTGTTGGTCAACAACTCAACGGGGGGTGTGAGCTGCTGAAATTACGGTACCATGCCTCCCCGCCTCCCCTCTACCCACCCCACAGGAGGCAGTCAAGGAGATCATGCGTGCAGGGCGGGTGGACGTGTTGGTCAACAACTCAACGGCGGGTGTGGGCTGCTGAGTTTGCCGTACTGTGCCTGCGCCGCCTCCCCTCCCCTCCCATACAGGCAGCAGTCAAGCAGATCACCAGCCAAACGGGGCGGGTGGACGTGTTGGTCAACAACTCAACGGCGGGTGTGGGCTGCTGAGTTTGCCGTACTGTGCCTGCGCCGCCTCCCCTCCCCTCCCATACAGGCAGCAGTCAAGCAGATCACCAGCCAAACGGGGCGGGTGGACGTGTTGGTCAACAACTCAACGGCGGGTGTGGGCTGCTGAGTTTGCCGTACTGTGCCTGCGCCGCCTCCCCTCCCCTCCCATACAGGCAGCAGTCAAGCAGATCACCAGCCAAACGGGGCGGGTGGACGTGTTGGTCAACAACTCAACGGCGGGTGTGGGCTGCTGAGTTTGCCGTACTGTGCCTGCGCCGCCTCCCCTCCCCTCCCTTACAGGCAGCAGTCAAGCAGATCACCAGCCAAACGGGGCGGGTGGACGTGTTGGTCAACAACGCCGGGTGTGGGCTGCCGGGGCCACTGGCAGAACTACCCATGGCGAGGATCAAAGAGGTGCGATGCAGTACCCGTGGGTGGGGTGAGATGCGGAGGTGACGATGGAACAAGGTAGTTGTCTGTGTCTGGATAGAGGGTGTGGTGTGAGCTGCCGGGGCCACTGGCAGAACTACCCATGGCGAGGATCAAAGAGGTGCGATGCGGTACCCGTGGGTGGGGTGAGATGCGGAGGTGACGATGGAACAAGGTAGTTGTCTGTGTCTGGATAGAGGGTGTGGTGTGAGCTGCCGGGGCCACTGGCAGAACTACCCATGGCGAGGATCAAAGAGGTGCGATGCGGTACCCGTGGGTGGGGTGAGATGCGGAGGTGACGATGGAACAAGGTAGTTGTCTGTGTCTGGATAGAGGGTGTGGTGTGAGCTGCCGGGGCCACTGGCAGAACTACCCATGGCGAGGATCAAAGAGGTGCGATGCGGTACCCGTGGGTGGGGTGAGATGCGGAGGTGACGATGGAACAAGGTAGTTGTCTGTGTCTGGATAGAGGGTGTGAGCTGCCGGGGCCGCTGGCAGAACTACCCATGGCGAGGATCAAAGAGGTGCGATGCGGTACCCGTGGGTGGGGTGAGATGTGGAGGTGGATGGAACAAGGTAGTTGTCTGTGTCTGGATAGAGGGTGTGAGCTGCCGGGGCCTCTGGCAGAACTACCCATGGCGAGGATCAAAGAGGTGCAATGCGGTAACCGTGGTAAAATGCAGTAACCGTGGTACAATGCGGTAACCGTGGTACAATGCGGTAACCATGGTACAATGCGGTAACCGTGGTACAATGCGGTAACCGTGGTACAATGCGGTAACCGTGGTACAATGCGGTAATCGTGGTACAATGCGATAACCGTGGTACAATGCGGTAACCGTGGTACAATGCGGTAATCGTGGTACAATGCGGTAACCGTGGTACAATGCAGTAACCGTGGTACAATGCGGTAACCGTGGTACAATGCGGTAACGCGGTAACCGTGGTACAATGCAGTAACCGTGGTACAATGCGGTAACCGTGCGGTAACCGTGGTACAATGCGGTTTCATGGTACAATGCGGTAACTGTGGTACAATGCGGTAACCGTGGTACAATGCGGTAACCGTGGTACAATGCGGTAAACCGTGGTACAATGCGGTAACCGTGGTACAATGCGATAACCGTGGTGTAGCCGTGGTACAATGCGGTAACCGTGGTACAACGGTAACCGTGGTACAATGCGGTAACCGTGGTACTATGCGGTAACCGTGGTACAATGCGGTAACCGTGGTACAATGCGGTAACCGTGGTACAATGAGGTAGGATGAGGAGGCACGATGATGATGCGGGATGAATAGGTGGGACGAGGAAGGGAGCAACGGAGAATGGGCAAGGCTGCTTCTTACAAAAGAACTCATTAGATCAAAACATGTATACGACCTTCTTCTTATACAGCCTCTTTGCCATCAAACGCAAGATTCTCCTTCCCCCCACACCTACCCTTCCCCCTCTCCGATCCCCACTCCTCCTTCTTTCTCCTCCATCTCCCTCTTCTCCTCCGTCTCCCTCTTCTCCTCCGTCTCCCTCTTCTCCTCCGTCTCCCTCTTCTCCCGCCCTCTTCCCTTGCATGTGTACGTACGATCCGTATGAAGCGCCACCATGTTTACTTGTAACACTGGATACGCACACGGAGCATCAGCGCTGTCTTCTCTTCTCACAAGCCATGCACTTTCCCACGGTCTTTCTTTTGCATTGATGCGAAAGCGCAACCGCAAGCCATGCCGACAGGCTGGCTCGCCCTTTTCCCAACTCTCAAGAAGTTTTGAGTTTGCCTCTCAAGTATTTCCCTACTCTCAAGAAGTTTTGAGTTTGCCTCTCAAGTATTTCCCTACTCAAAACGCCATGCCGACAGGCTGGCTTGCCTCTCCCTACACTCAAGAACCACACACAAGCACAAGGGCAGGCAAATCGTTCTCCCTCCCTTCTCCCTCTCTTCTCCCTCCCTTCTCCCTCAAATGGTCCGTTGTATTAATTCAGCAGGGGTACAGACATGCAGTTCTATCCATGATAACCTCAATCCCATAAGCCCATCAACTCACACCTCTTCCCCTCCCCTCCCCCCTGAGTGACCCTCTAGCCCTCCAGCGTGGAAGATGTCCCTCAAGTGCAGCGGCCAGGGGTCCGCTGCCATCTGGGGGTGTGCTGCCTCAATCCCAGCCCTGCCCTTGGTGTGCAGGGCGTTCGCCTGGGAGCGCTGGAGGGCCACTGACCAGCGCTGGCTGAAGTGGCAGGCCATCTTCTTGGCAGATTTCGCCAAGGGGCTAGCCCTGAAGCGGTTCCTAGCTGCTGCTGTGGCCAGCAGTTTCAGGAACGCCGTCGTGGGGGGCGCGTTTGCCCCATAGGTCTTGACGGCCAGGGCGCAGAACACCACGTGTTCAGTGTGTCGAAAGTAGTCCCTCTCCTTCCGCTTCTGTGCCTCCCTTGCAGCCCAGCCTGGGGGTTTGCGGGCCGTGGGGTCTCGGTTCTGCAGCACAGGGTCAGTGATCGTGGTGTCTGTGATCCAGGTCTCTCCGCTGTCCGGGTCTTGTACAATCACATCTGCCTTCTTCGGGCCATCCGGAGATGAGTACATCGCATTCTCCAGGTATACCACCAGCTGCGCCTCCCTCGCCATTTTAGCCATGGCGAAGGCCAGCTGGTTGTGTGTGCGCATCCTGTCGGGGCCTGTGCTGCAGCGGAGTAAGTGGTTGGGTAGGCTGCAGTCGGCTACGAATTCTCCGCACTCGCACACGGTTGGTACATTCTGTCGGATGTCCATGCGGAAGGCCAGGGCCGCTCGGAACTGTCCCGGTGAGAAGCAGAGGTCCGGGGTCAATCAAGGGTAGTGCCTGCAACCATGCTCCCGCTCCCTCTCCTCTCAGGCTGACTAGGCGGAGTGTGTGGCCCATCTCGGGGGCTGACTGTATTGCGCGTGACTCCTCTCTTAGGGCGTCGGCCTTTGCCGCGTGCACTTCCTGGGAGAGGGTGCGCTGCAACTGGTCCTGGGACGGGGTTTGCTGCTCCTCCCGTAGGTTTTGTAGGCAGCGGTGGCAGTCGCCTCTCCATATCTTGGATGGTCACGGAGTGCGCTGCAGACGGCTGCAGGGCGTTGCTGTCGGCGCCTAGCGGCGCGGTTGCCAGTAAGTCCAGGGAGCGGAGCAGGCGTAGTGCCTCTGCTGTAGATGCCAGGTAGGCCGGTGCTGCTTCAGTTGTGGGGTCCGTAAGGCCCAGTCCGCCTAGGGCTACTGGGAGAGTTGCCTGTCGGAGAAGGAAGTTGGACTCGGCTTGTCGGCGTGGCGGTTGAATGCTGGCGGCGGTCAAGGCAGTGTTCAGTAATTCGGCGCACCATGTGTGCCATTCCGAGAGCGGTAAGACGTCAGCTGGGGTAGTGCGCAGCAGGTAGCCGACTCTGCGGCTGATGCAACGAGACAGTAGCAGGAGGACGTGTTGTGGGTGGATGGACGCCAGAGAGCCCAAGGGGGCTGCCGCGTCTGTCAGGGTGCCGCGGACAAAATCAGAGCAGAAGCTCTGCGACCCCACTGGACTTCCCAACACCCGCACCCCCTCGCGGGTGAGGAGAAGGCCCTCGGGGAGTACGTCCCCTCCTAGCGGCACGGTGGACCACGCCGACGACTTCCTAAAGTTGCAGGTGAGACCGTCCCGTGCCAGCAGCGGCGTGAGCTCCCTGAGCGCTTCCAGCGTCGCCTCCGCGGGTCCAATCATGGTTATGTCGTCCGCGTAAGCGAGGACTGTGACTTCGGGGTGCTCCGTTGCTACGTGCCTGAGGTGCTGCTGGATAGACGCTGCGAATAACAGAGGTCCGAGGGGATCCCCCTGTCTGACTCCCCTTCCGCTGGTGAGTGCCGTGGAATTGAAGCATGGGTCCAGCAGCAGTGGTGAAGATGCTGCGTAGAAAGAGCGTGTGAAGGGGATTAGGGGAGCTAGTGGGGAGCCGATGAGTGCGTTGAAGAACGCGCTCCTCTCTACTGAGTTGAACGCGTTCTCAATGTCGAGCAGGAGTACTAGGCTGGAGGGCTGCTCCGTGGTGAAGTCTCGGAAGCATGGATGACAAATTCTGCACCTCCAGGGACTGCCACGCCAAATTGCCGAGGTAGGAAAAAATTTCGCGTTTCTCCTTGCAGATCTGAGAGCGCCACCTTCGCCGCCAGCCTAAGCAATGACTCTCCAATCGCAATGGGACGTACCCCCCCCCCTGGTTTGGCGAAGACTATAAGGCGGGACGGGGCAAGTAGTGCTGCGACTTCAGTGGAAAGATTTGTCGAGAGAAGATGCGTAACGGCGGAGTGGAGGTGCCCTAGTACCTCGATGTTACTTAGCGCTGGATCGCGGTAGTGTTCGAAAGTTGACCCCGATGGGCCAGCCCCAATTCCCCTGGGGCATTCTCCAAGGACGTCGGAAAAGCGTTCCAGAGTGGTTGAGAATTGCGTGGGTGTGGTGTAGGAATGCACCCACTCGGGCAGGTCATTTTGGGGTTGGGGGTGTTTCGATTCCAGCTGCTGTAGTGTCGCAATTGTCGCAGGTGCTGAAGGCGAGGGTTGTAGGGCTGCTAACGCCTTTCGCAGGTTACCCCGTTTCACCAACCCCTCCGCACGTGAGCAGATTCCCAGTGGGTCACGTTGGTGCTGAGGAGGTCCCTTCTCCCTCCCTCTCCGCGCTTTCCAGGTGTATGACACGAACCTGTTTGGAGCATTGGCGTTGTCCCAGGCAGTGTTTCCCTACATGCACAAGCAGAGGAGCGGGCGAATCATCAACGTTTCCAGTGTTGCTGGTTACACGTACAGGTGGGGTGGTTACAGTTACAGGTGGGGTGGTTACAGTTACAGGTGGGGTGGTTACAGTTACAGGTGTGGTGGCATTGCAGTGTCCCCCCTACAAGCACAAGAATCAGAGCGGCATGAGAAAAGGAACCATCCTTGCTTGCTTACTTCCTTGTGTTATTTCGCCCGCTTTCTTTCTAATTGCATTTTGTGACCAGGCCCTTAGTGAGGTCGTATGGCAGTAGCAAGCCGACGCTGGATCCAATCACCACTGCATTCGCAATCACCACTGCATGCGCAATCACCACTGCATGCGCAATCACCACTGCATGCGCAATCACCAAAGGCGGAAATGAAACTATTCACCCCACCACCCCCCCTCCCCTCCCCCCTCCCTAACCCACCCTCCGCGCTGCATGTTGTGAGCAGGCCCTTCGTGGGGACGTACGGGAGCAGCAAGGCGGCGTTCAACGCAATCAACAACTGCATGCGCATGGACATAAAACCACTTCCCCCCCCCCCCCCCCCCCCCCCACCCCCACCCCCTCGGATCCCCCCCTCCTCGCACTGCATGTGTTGGGCAGGCCCTTCGTGGGGACGTATGGGAGCAGCAAGGCGGCGTTCAACGCGGTTACCAACTCCAGCCACCTAAGAAAACCATTTCATCCCCCCCACCCCACCCCACCTGTCATTGCTTGAGCAGCCCCTTCGTTGGGGCGTACGGGAGCAGCAAGGCGGCGTTCAACGCAATCAACAACTGCATGCGCGTGGACAAAAACCACTTACCCCCCCCCACCCCTCCCCCCTCCCCACCCCCACCCCCTCGGAACCCCCCCTCGCACTGCATGTGTTTGGCAGGCCCTTCGTGGGGACGTATGGGAGCAGCAAGGCGGCGTTCAACGCGGTTACCAACTGCATGCGCGTGGAAATGAAACCTCTGGGGATCGGTGTTGTGCTTGTTACACCCGGCTACATCCGCACCAACATTTTCAGGTGCTTTCTTTGAGCTACCTCAGTAAATGAAATTCGTTTCTTGATGAGGCACTGTACTGGTACTGTGCTTTGTTGTATTCGCAAAACCAACAATTTTAAGGTGCTTTGCTACTTTTCTCTAGTTGTAGCAATGGAATTTCATGCCTTGATTATGGGTTATTGCACTACACTCAAACGCCCACCTCCCACTCCCCGCCAACAATCGCGCTGTTGTCTCCATTTTAGGAATCCCCCTCTCACTACCACGCTGTCTTTCCAACCCTGAACTCCCCTCCTCTTCCCCGCTTCCCCCTTCCCCCCACCCTACCTCCCCCCTTCTTTCTCCCGATTAATTCCCTTGCTTTAGCGAGAATGTCAGCTGCATTTTAGTGCTCAAGGCTTGAGATATCTCAGGCGCCTCAAAAGAATCCGTTACTCCTTGCCTGAACATTGTTTTTCCCCATCCGTCCCCCCATCCGTCCACCCATCCGCCCCCCCATCCGCCCCCCCATCCCATTGATGCTTTAGTGGCATCAATGCTCTCACATCCCTGTCCTCACATTCCCACACCATCGGCCATAATGCTCCTCTAGTCATTCCATGGAGTTATGTTCTTTCTTTTGGTCCCACGAGTCTTTCTTTTGCCTTCTTAACACTAACACCTCCACCTCTCGTGCGGCAAGAAAACCCCCTCCACATCCCTGTCCTCCCACAGCCAATCAGATATTCAGTCTACTCATGTCCTCCCAATTGTCTTCTCCCTCCTTCCGTTACCACCCCCATCCTTCATGCAGCAAGAATGTCTCTCACATTCCTGTCCTCCCGCCATCAAGCCCGTTTAAGCCCATGGAGATTAATGTCCGCGAATCGTACGCCAAGCGGGCCAAGAACCAGTCATTTCCACCCGCATCTGAGCTGGCTAAGCGCATCGCTGATGCAGCACTCAGCCCAAATCCTCCTATCAGGATTTTGTTTGGAATGAGTGCGCTTCCTGCTGTGGTTGCAGGGGCAATGCCTTTATGGCTTCAAGATTTTGTGTATTCACGACTGTTTGGCAGTGGGAAAAATCTGTAGACTATTCCCGTGCCAATGTGTTCAGCCGAATATTATTGGCCTCTGAAGTTCCCAATTTTCAATGTGTTCTTCAATACACCATATTCTCGGCGTTACGCTTATATGAGAGGCGAGGCGAGCTCAAACCAGGGTTCTTTTTCCAGAGCAACGACTATCACGACTTGTTCATGACCGCTACAGTCCAGCTTCCTGGGCAAACGTCATGATTATCTCCGGTTTGTTCCACGACATCAGGAGCACATCAGCAGCGTACATCTGCCATCAGAATCCGCGACAGCAACGACTTGGTAATTTCTGAAGTCAAATTTGTGTTTTGGTTTGGACATTCTGCCAAAAACGAGTTGCGACGGACTTTCACACTGCCACTGCAGTGTGCAGGGCGGGATATGTACAGTACTCAAGGAACTCAGAGGTGTTTATGCTCTTGTATTTTCTTTTTCGTGACCAAACGTACGCGGATGGTGTGAATGTGTAGCTCCGGTACACGTATTTCGTTGCGCAACACCCCTTTACGGGGAGCGGACATAGGCCACTGCTGTACAGTGGATTCCGACCCTTCCCTGGATTCCAGGGGTCAGTGTACGCAAAGATGACTGGTCAGTAGAGTTGGATGCTTGTTCACGAATGGCATACGATCCGTAGTTTTTTCTGCCCGGGGGCAGCATGTCGTCAAGTCGTCAGAGGGTCGTCGGGCCCGACGACCCGTTTGCGCTGAGGTTTTCCATTTCGCAAATACAAGACAGGTGTATCCAGGCAGGTGTCGACCTCGTTGGTCGAGTGGCTAATCCAGTGCGATCCAGTCGGCTTCCACACGGTGAACATCAGTTTTCTTCACACAACACTTTGAAATGCACACATGTCACGTTTAAATGTATCTGGTTCGTTTAATGCGGTCAAGTACGCCAAAAAGCGTCAAGTACGGTTTGCCTCGGTGGAAACCCAGAGTCGTCTTTAACCTTTTTTTAGCGCACAGGACCGAATAGAACCAACCAGGTACATAAAACCGTGACCCTCTCTGATCAGCTTGCCACAACAGCTTTTACTGTACCTCATTTCACCAGAAATGTTCCTCCCCCTCCATCACTTTCACAGCAGCACTACCTTCACTCCAAACGCATCTTCACTCCAAACTCTCCTCCAACCCACGAACCAGAAAGCTAGCTCATATTTCCGCTACAAGAAACAGAAGTATGGACCCATTGAGGTGCCTGATAGTGCTATTACTTGGGATATTAATCAGATCTTCGCTCGTCCTTTCAGATTCGCTCAGCTTAATGGTAAGTCCGAACACACGTAGTCACAAAAACTTTCCCTCCGCATCGCGACGCGGAGTCTTAATTTCTCAATGCGTTTTACAACCCACTTCTGTCCCAGGATGACGACAGCCCCAGCACCACACTGAAACGAAGTCGAGTTGACATCACCATTGGAAATGCGTTATTTCAGCTCGAAGGCGCCTCCCACGTTGACTCGGATCCAAATCATCATGAAAATGGATACGAGTCATCAGATTTACCCTCGAAAACCTCGCCGAAACCAGCGGAGGAGCCGCAAATCGGCGGGAGATTCTTCGAGGCGGGCGGTTTTGGTTCCTGCGGCGTCCCGGACGTTCCCGACGACGCGGAGTGCGTGGCGGATCTCGCGGCATTTCCTGAGCTGGCTACGCGCAGCGGTACCCGCACGGTGCGCCGGTTGGCGTGCCTGGCGCACAGGTATCTGCGCCCGTGGATGGGAATTCCCGGGGTGAAGCGGGGGATGGGCGCGCGGGGAATGATCAGCGCGCAGATTCTACACCGGATGGGTCACATGACCAGCGTGAGTGTTGCTGGTTTACAAAATTTTAACAATCGAGTCGAATCTAAACCAATACTTTCAGTTATTTGAGCCGCATTTCTCCAAACTTTCTCCCTGCCACCATTTGGCCACCCTAGTGACCACTACCGGTACTCTCTAGAGCTCCTCTCATCCAACTTTTCCTGAAACTACTGTCAGATTAGCGAAAGTTTGGTTGAGAAAGTACTCTACTCGCCTCCTCCTGCACCACGAGCACTACTAGTTTTGCAGTGCGGCTACCGTAGCAAAAAAGGTAACATTTAGGTAGTAGTTAGGTTGATAATACCAATTTTGGTCCAAATTTAGACCAAACCAAGACCCACTACTTTGTGATGGCTCCCCGTCCCCCCAACCTAGCGGAATATTGCGTGATGTTGGATGATTGCGCATCCCCACCTGCGTGATGTTGGATGATTGCGCATCCCCACCTGCGTGATGTTGGATGATTGCGCATCCCCACCTGCGTGATGTTGGATGATTGCGCATCCCCACCTGCGTGATGTTGGATGATTGCGCATCCCCACCTGCGTGATGTTGGATGATTGCGCATCCCCACCTGCGTGATGTTGGATGATTGCGCATCCCCACCTGCGTGATGTTGGATGATTGCGCATCCCCACCTCTCCTCCTTTCCCCTCCCTTCCCTGCACCACGAACACTACAGGTGCTCTCCCTCCTCTCACCCTACTCTCACCCTCCTCTCACCCTACTCTCACCCTCCTCTCACCCTCCTCTCACCCTCCTCTCACCCTCCTGTCACCCTCCTCTCACCCTCCTCTCACCCTCCTCTCACCCTCCTCTCACCCTCCTCTCACCCTCCTCTCACCCTCCTCTCACCCTGTTTCCTAAGTTACTGATTGAGCATCCCGCCACCACCCCTCCCCCCCCTTCTTCTCCCCCCCCTTCCTCCTTCCACTCTTTCCCACCATGCACCGCAGGTGCTCTCTTGCTGCGGCCACGTGCGGATCGTGAAAGGCAGAATCTACTTCCGTTTCGGCGGCTTCGAGTTCGACTGGTTCAAGATGCGCCGCTTCCTCTTCTCGATCCTCATGATCAAAGAAGCCATCGCACGCTACAGCCTCCATTCCCTCACCGCCGAATTCTTCATCAACACGTGCGACGCGCACATCAGCAAAGCCTCATCTGTCGCAAACCGCCGCGCCGGCCTCCCCATTTTCAGCACGCACGGCTCCATCGGCAGCATCGACATCCTCTACCCGGACCCGGTGGATCTGAGCGAAACTTACTTCCGCCGAAGCGAGGCGGATCAGGTACCTTGGGAGCAGAAGCAGAGCCGTGCGGTGTTCCGAGGGACCATGACCAATTTCCACCTGTTTTACGACCGGCAATGGCGCCCCAGCCCGCGAATGCGCCTCCACCGCATGTCAGACGTGCGGCCAGACCTGATCGACGCGAGGCTTGTGAAGGGAGTGGACCCAGTGTTTCTAGATGAGCTGCGGGAGGATGGGATTAAGATGGGGGGTCGACTCGGTCCGGCGGAGTTGCAAGCGTTCAAGTATGAGATCGAGGTGGACGGTGGTACAGGGACCTGTCGCACGTGCGGGATTCTGGCAAGCAACCAGATGATCATCAAGCATGCGAGCGAGTATTTTGAGTATTTCTACCCCCTCCTGTGCCCATACCAGCACTTCGTCCCAACACACCGATACTTCGATGATTTATTCGAGCGGATTGAGTGGGCTCGGGATCATGACCTCAAGGCGCAGCAGATTGTGAAGCAGGCCAATCGGCTTGCAAGGGACGTGTGTACATGGGAGGGCCGGCGTCTCTACTGGGCGATTCTCCTCGCGAAATATTCCGCCAGCGCGCTCGAGGATCCTGCCAACGTAACCCGCCCGGCTGTCTTCAAATGCACGGTCCCTCCAATCCAAGGTGACGTGGTGATGCACGGCATTCGCTCCAAAGAGAAGCCGGAAAAATGGTACCCCAGGTGTGGGTCTCCAGAGGAAGATGAGGGGCAGTCCCTGTGTACCCACTGGTGCTCAGGGCGTTTGGAAGAGTCCAAGTGGAAATGGCTTAGTGCCGACATTCTGAGTGGAATTCAGGGCTTCAAGCCGCAAATTCCCGGAAATAAGTTCCGAGATGTGTAAAGGCCTGGACTGAATGCATGCTTGGTTAAACTGAAGAAGCTTGAGTGGATGTGGATCACTGGGGCATTCTCAGTGTCACCTAGGTCGGCTGGGGGGTTTCTGCCAGAGACATGCAGGTGCCTAGATCCTTCATGTTACCCCATCACTTAGGTGTTGTCTACCTGTGTGTGTGGCATAGGACACGCTTTATGTCTCGAGGGGAATCATGAAGTGCTGGCAGTGGGCGTTCTGAAACAGCCAGCACAATTGATGTTTACATAGAAATTGCTGGCTTGCACAGTGTGTAAAGAATATGTTGTACAGGCCCTCCGATTCGTTTTTGGGCTGTTTGATTCGTCAGACTTGGTACACATTTTTAGTCTGATCAATCAGACTTGGTACAAAAAAAAAACCGGAATTTTCAGAGTTCGATCGCATAAAAGTCTGATAAACCAAAGTTCACATCAGTAGTGAAGCTGACTGATCAGCCTAAAACGGGGTGACAACCTTGCCGCAGTGCTGTTGTCAATGTTTCAGTGTGACTGATGACACGACAAATTTGTACTTCCAGCGCTAATCGCGGCTGTCAGGTCAGTAGGTACCCGCTAAAACGCTATTGGGATCAGAGTACACTCTGAGAAAAAGTCTGAAATATCAGACAAGGCATAGATTTTTTTTCTGAATATTCAGAGTTCACAGCAAAAAAAACGCTGAAATTTCGGAGTTCACTAAATAAAGAAGGGTGAATATCAGAGTTTTTTAGGCAAATCAGAGAAATTTCTCTGACTTATGGGGGCCTGCTGTTTTCTCTCGTCCCCGCTTCGCTCACTCCTCTGCCTAACTCCTCCCATACATGCCCTCCACCTTCACCCCTCGCTTATTCTGCCATATCCCCTCTTACCTCCCCATTCCATACAGAACCAAACATGTGCCAGCACCATGTATGTCAACAGGAGTGGGTTGAAAGGTTACCACCTCCAAGCTTTGTGCTTGTGCTTATAGTCTTGTCTTGGCAACACAAATGGAACATTATTTTGCTTTGTTGCATTTTTTCATAATGCTCCAAGTCACGATGTGGTGTATTATGAGACGCATCCAACCAACGTCAATAACGGTACATGGCATGGCTATTGTAGGCGACTAATATTATCAAACCCTATACTCAACACAACTGGATGCATGGCAGACCTCCAAAGACACGAACCACAAACTCTGATGCATGGTGGGGAACAAAGAATGCACAGAGGCAGAAAATGAGCAAGGGAGACACGGAGGAAGGGTGGAAGGGTGAGCAAGATGAAACGTGGGTAGGGAAGAGCGAGCGGGGAAAGGCACTAAGGCAGAAGCGTAGGCGACGGTGAGAGGATAGGTGGATGAGATGATGGGCGGATGAGAGGATGGGCGGATGAGATGATGGGCGGATGAGATGATGGGCGGATGAGAGGATGGGCGGATGAGAGGATGGGCGGATGAGATGATGGGCGGATGAGAGGATGGGCGGATGAGAGGATGGGCGGATGCGAGGATGGGCGGATGAGAGGATGGGCGGATGGAGAGGATGGGCGGATGAGAGGATGGGCGGATGAGAGGATGGGCGGATGAGATGATGGGCGGATGAGAGGATGGGCGGATGAGAGGATGGGCGGATGCGAGGATGGGCGGATGAGAGGATGGGCGGATGAGAGGATGGGCGGATGAGATGATGGGCGGATGAGAGGATGGGCGGATGAGATGATGGGCGGATGGGAGGATGGGCGGATGAGAGGATGGACGGATGCGAGGATGGGCGGATGAGAGGATGGGCGGATGAGAGGATGGGCGGATGAGAGGATGGGCGGATGAGAGGATGGGCGGATGCGAGGATGGGCGGATGAGAGGATGGGCAGATGAGAGGATGGGCGGATGAGCTGATGGGCGGATGAGAGGATGGGCGGATGAGATGATGGGCGGATGAGAGGATGGGCGGATGAGAGGATGGGCGGATGAGAGGATGGGCGGATGCGAGGATGTGCGGATGAGAGGATGGGCGGATGAGATGATGGGCGGATGAGATGATGGGCGGATGAGATGATGGGCGGATGAGAGGATGGGCGGATAAGATGATGGGCGGATTGATGATGGGCGGATGAGAGGAAAAAGTGCGGCAGGGTACAAGGGGGAAGGTAGAAGGGTGGAACGGAGGAGCAGGGTTGGTGTGAGGAAGGGAGTGGGAGAGTGGGAGATGGAAGGGGGACGGGGGGCTGGATTGATGGAGGATGAGGAGAGGAAGAATGGCAGGAAGGAAGGATGGGAGGAAGGGAGGACGGGCAACAGAGAGGGTAAAGAGGGTAGTGAGGCAGAGAGATGGAGGAAGGGAGGAAGGGAGAGGGAGAGGAGGACGACTGTGGGGGAACGACAGAACGGAGTAAGGGAGGAGGGCAGGAGGTAAAAGTGTGGCAGGGTATAAGGGTGGAAAGGGGGATAGGAGGATCCCTGCACCCTCTCTCCCTAACAACCGCCTCCCCTGCCCCGCCTCCCCCGCTCCCCTGACCCGCCTCATGCAGCACTGCACTCCTTGCTGCCCGCCTGCACGCGCCTGTGGGGCTGTGCGCCAAACACTCTGCTCCAAAGCCGCACCACCACCTGCCATGCGTGTGGGGTTGGTGCGAGAGAGGAGAGGAGGTCAGAGCAAGAGAGAGAAGGGTGGGTGCTGCTGACCACGCAACCTTCCACACCCCACAGCGAATGAGTCCCGACCCCTTCTCCAGCTCCCAGCCCAGCCCGCCATACCTCCCCGCCCAGGGTGGGTGAGAGGCTGATGGGGAGGGAGAATGAGAGAGAAGGAAATAAGGGTGCAAGGGTGGGGTGGTAACCATGGGCGATGGTAGGAGTAGAGAAGGTGGTACTGGGGAGAGCGTGAGCGACCTAACGAGGCAATGGGGAAGGGATACAACGACGACCCTAAATGCGATGGGAAGGGATGAGAGGGTGGGCGGCATGGGTGGAGACGCGATGGTGAAGAGGGGGAACGTGATAGGCAGGGGAGTGATGACGCCGTGGAGAGAGGTGGGAGAGAAGGGAGGTCGGCGGGAAGGCTAACCGAGGGCGATGGGAGGGCAAGTGTGGGCGACAATGGCGGTGGGCGACGGTGGCGGTGGGCGACGGTGGGGGGAAGCGTGGGCGACGTTGGGGGGAAGCGTGGGCGACGGTGGGGGGGAGCGTGGGCGACGTTGGGGGGAAGCGTGGGCGACGGTGGGGGGTAGCGTGGGCGACGGTGGGGGGAAGCGTGGGCGTCGGTGGGGGGAAGCGTGGGCGACGGTAGGAGGAACCGTGGGTGATGAGCGCGGATTTTGTGAGGGAAGGTGGGGAAAGGCATCAGCGACGGTGTTGGGAAGCGTGGGGGGCAAGAGGAAGCGTGAGTGGCGGTAAGGGGAAGCGTGAGCGACGGTGGGGGAAAGCGTGGGCGACGGTGAGGGGAAGCGTGGGCGCGTGCGTGGGGAGGTGTGCGAGAGACGGTGGGGAGAAGCGTGGGGGACGCGGAAGGCGATAGGTCCAAATGCGATGTCTGGGGATGGGCTAGGACTAAAGGTGAAAATGCTCATGGCCTATGCTTTAGTGGCTTTTTATTCTATCTCTTCGCATGATGTAATCGCTTCGCATAGTATGGAAATCGCACGACCTGAATTACCAAAGAAGGCAAACAGTGCACATTTTGAGCCCTTGTTCCTTCAGGAGGGTGTGGTTGGGACTCTTGCCAACCAAACCGGTTCTGCTCTACGACACTCTCTTTGTTGGGGCTTTGTTTTATGGTAACCAGCCTGGCTCGGGAGGTCAACTGTGGGTTCGGTAGGCAAACTGTGCACAGTTTGCCTTCCTTTTTTTGTAATTCAGGTCTTGGGCTTTAACTCAATCACAAGAGTCTCACAAGTTCCACGATTACTACACGAGAGTTAGAGTAGCAATAAACCAGGTGGGAGGGGAAGAGGAGGACGAGGGGGAAGGTCCCCAAGGAGTCCCCAACCAAGGAAACCCCATAAGCACACCAAATCCCTTCCCTATAGGAACCTCATTTTAACCTTTGTCCATTTCCCAACCTCCACAATCCACCTCACCCAAGTTGGCCATACTTGCCAACCCAATTTGGTTTCTCCCAACCACTTGGCAGCATCTACAGTGATGGGGACGAATTTCCCAACCCCCAAAAGTCTGTACCCCATATTGAGTCACTTCACAACTTCCCAAAGTCGTCGCAACACAAACAAATCTTTGAATGCTCACAACTTCCTCGTTCTTGCTCCGATCGCGACGATTCTTGGTTCGTCGAAAAGCTCTTGAGCAGAGGAGTCACTTCAAATATCTGCTCAAGCCAGATAACATTCACACACACTCAGGAAAACCAAACCACATCAAACACACATTCTTGCATACGATCACACCACGCATGCAACGCACGAACATATAATGGGAGGCAGACAGACGTGAATGCAAGTGATAGCATCACATAACATTATATCCCTATACCCCTTCTCACCCCCTCCTTGCCCCTTCCCTACATGCATTTCCTGAGCATGCCCCTTGTGGGAATATATGGGAGCAGCTAGAAGATTGTGAAATCCATGCTTCGTATGCTGCACTCTTCCATCAAGGCTGTGTTAAGAACAAAGAGTGACTAGAACGAGGGAATATAGGGGTACATATAGGAAACTCTAGCATGTTTAGTATAAAGTACATACCAAACATACCAAACTGTACACCCATCAATGTATGTATAGTTTGACACACCCGCTAGGCTAGTTAAGGGGCAGTGCCTAAAAAACATGAAGCAACTCATGGTGGCACTACTACTGTAGCCTCTGAGACAAGTGGCTACAAGGCGAATCAGCAAATGCTGCGGAGATAGCTAGTACAACGGGAGCTAGATTACGGGCTAGGCGCGGATGCTCTTGTGATCTCTGCGTTCGTTGTTCCTTAGTCGATTTCCTAGTGCACATACTGCTTGCTAGTTCACGGGGCAAATTGGCAAGAGTTTCACTAGAGAAAGTTGACAACAATGGTACAAAGAAGTTGACATGACAAGACTACATCAGAGTTAGCATTCAGGTCGGTCGACTTCCACTGAAGCACGGTCGACCGCGCTCCAGCAGTGCAAAGTCGACGGCGTGCCAATGCTGCACGTCGACGGTGTGCCAGCGTTGCTCCCGAAGTACAGCATCACACGTGCTCGCAGAGGATTGGGGTGCTGAGCCTTATCACCTGCACAACGAACCCACCATATCATCCTCGCGCTGACGACTGTACCTGATCCTCCACGTCGACCTCGGGATACCACCACCAAGGACGGTCTCGCCAACATCGCCTGGGCGACCGTCTCATTCCTCCGCAGAACCTCGTCACCCAGGTAACCGGGTCGAACAGGTAACCACGTCGACCAGCTGCTCCTGTATGTGCCCGTAGACCTCCCAAGTCGACCTCACCAGGTCGGCCACGCCCCTGGTCGACCAGCTCCAGGTCGACGTCACTCCTGGTCGACCAGCTCTATGTCGACCAGCGTAGTTGTCAGCCAACCGCCCAAGTTGGCTACCCGTAGTCGGCGTCACCAAGTTGAAGCCCTGCTACTCGATGCCCAGCTGCTCGGCGTCCTGAGTCGTGGTCGACGTCGGCCCCTCCTCCGTCGACCACCAGGTCAGGTCGACCACCAGGTTGACATCACGCCTGGTCAACCAACCACCAAGTTGACCAGCAGGCCTAGTCGACCAACCATCTGATCGACCAGCAGTCCTGTCAGCCAACCACCCAAGTCGGCTGCCCCAAGTTGGCATCACCAAGTCAACGCCCTCCACAGGTTGACTTCCTAGGTTGACCTCCCTGAAGTCGGCGCCACCCTAAAGTCGGCGCCGGTGCAGGTCAACCTCCTCGTCAACCAGCTTGCCCACTGCTGCAAGTCGGTTGCTGCCCTCACACCCGACCACGAAGTCAGCTTTGCCCAAGCGAGGACGGGGCCAACACACAACTCCCGTTGACACTCGCCGCGTTCACGCTTGGGCCCCCAGCCCACACAGCAGTACTCTTCAGAGAATAACTCGTCGACGTGCACCCAACACACAGCACCTCATCCACCGCACCAGCCATACAAGAGGGCATGGAACCTACTGCTGCACGTCGTTGTCAACGTCGCCCACGTCGGCCAAGCGCACCTGGCCGATGGCGACGGAGCACCGGTTGAAGGCCGGATAGTGCAACGCCTTCGTCAGGAAGTCGGCCGGCTACTCAGCTGTCGGGTTGTACTTCAGCCAGACTTTCCCGCGCCTCACCATATGCTGTAGCCAGGCCTGACGCTGCTCTATGTGCTTGAGGTTGCCCGTCAACCCCATGCCCTCGGCAACCGTGATGGCCGACTTGTTGTCCACCCGAAGGACGGTCGGCTTCCCAGCATCCAGCTGCTGGAACTATGCGAGGAGGAAGCGAAGACGACGTCTCTCCTTGCCAGGTTCCGTGGCCACCACGTACTCGGACTCGGTCGGCGACAACGTTGCACACTTGATGCGCTGGCTCGACCAGGAGACTGCGGCCCCTCCGTAGATAAACACGTAGCCGCCCGTGCTTGTCCTGTACTACTTGTTACCGGCGTCGTCGGCGTCCACGTAGCCGACCAGCTCCAGCGACTATGGTTCACCACCGAACTCTAGGGCGGTGTCACGCGTGTTGGCGAGGTAGGCGAGACAGCGGTAGACCTCGTGCCAGTGCTGGTCACCCCTCACCGTGAGTCTGCTCCCTAGCTTGCTGTAGGCAAAGGTAATGTCCGGCCTTATCGTCGTCGCTGCGAACTGCAGCGAGCCGACCTTCTGCCAGTACTCCTCCTCCCGTCGCTCTTATGCCTCCTTGTCGTCGAAGGTGAGCTCGGCGTAGGCGTCGACCGAGACCGGCGTCTTCGAGGTGCGCCCAGTCTGTTCCTTGTCGATGAAGCGCCTATGCAGCTTGTCGGCGTAGCCCTGCTGGTGCAGCCACAGCTTCTCCGCCGACCTGCCGCGGACGATCTCAAGCCCGAGGTACTTCTGCACTGGCGAGATCTCACGTAGCTGGAAGGCGGACTCCAGCAGCTCCTTCAGCATCTTGGTTGCTGCTAGCGGTGAGCAGGTCGTCGACGTAGACCAGTACCCAGCAGGCCACTCCGTCGTCGCCGACCTTGAAGTATAGAGCCTCGTCGACCTGGCTCTTCTTCCATCCGGCGCCGACAAGCACGTCGTTGAGCGCCAAGTACCACAGCAGCGGCGACTGTTTTAGCCCGTACAGGCTCTCCAGCAGCTTGCACACTTGGCCGGTTCCGCTGTTGAAGTGGTCCAGCTGGGACATGTACAGCACCCAGTCGAGCTTGCTCTGCAAGAAGGCGTTCTTCATGTCGAGCTGCATCATGTTGAGGTTGAGGACGGCGACGATGCTGAGGAAGATCCTCATCGTGACGTAGCTGCCCACCGGCGCGAACGTCTCATCGTAGTCGGCGCCATACACCTCGGTGAAGCCCTTCACGACCAGCTTGCCTTCTCGCGCTCAACGGTGTCATCGACGTGGTACTTCGTCGTCAACACCCACCAGTTCTTCATGATGTTCATTCCCGGCGGGCGTTCGACCAGCTCCCAAGTGCCCATGTTGATGAGGCTACGGATCTCCTCCTCCATGGCGGCCTTCACCGCCGGGCCCTTCCAGCTCGTCAACGCCTCCTTCACCGTCATCGTCGAGATGTCCCAACGGTGCTCGGGGTCCAGCTCCGAAAACTCCTCATCCTCCTCGGCGTCATCATACACTAGGTCGTCGTTGTCCACATCATACATCGTGGTGAAGGCAGCAGGGACGAAGAAGTCCGGTGGCTTTCGAAGTCAGCTTGACTTCCGAGGTTCGGGCCGAACCTCCACCATGTCGCTGTCAGTGGACTTCTCCCCTTCGTCACCGGCTTCGCTACCCTCGTCGTCCTACTGCACCTCGGTCGAATTCCTGGCCGACCTCTCCCCTGTGGTCGGCTCCTCTGCCGACTACTCCTTGGTTGGCTTCACCTCTGCCTGCTCCCCTATCGGCTGCTGCCCTACTCGTGCTCTCTTCGCCGGCTTCACCAAAGTCGGCTGCACCTCCTCGACCTGGTCCTCCCCTATCAACGTTGACTTAATTCCCACGTCGACTTGCTGCTCGTCTCGTCGGCCACCGGTGATGCCCTTGGCCGGCGCCGAAGGCAACGCCGCACTGCTCCCCTCATCGCTGGAGGCCGACACCGGGGCCAGCCCATGCAGGTTGGCCACAAGGGGAGGGGTAGAAGGGGCATGGGAGGGGAAGGTAGAGGGGACATGCTCGACGTCCTCGGCAGTAGGCTCACCGACCTCGGCAAGCTATTGAGCGATGGCGTCGAGGTGTCCGTCGGTGGGGTGGTCGGCGTGCGTCCTGACACCGGCCCGTGCTCCGACTTCCACACCTGTAGCGAAATGTCCTCGTAGAACACGACGTCCGACGTGGTGACCACCCGGTTGTCGGCGATGTCGGGGAGCTCCCAGCCCTTGCTCTCCTCTGACACGCCTTGGTGAAGGCCCCACCTGGCCTTCGGGTTCAGCTTCCCACCACG